TTGATGACGTTGATTCACACTGTGGAATCAGGAAAATGGCCAAACCAGTTCCAGAGGATTTACAACATATGCTCAATGGAGTTAACACATGATGGACTTCTAAGAAGACACAGGAATTATATATATATTTTTTACATACATTATTTTTTTGTTTGTTTGTTACCAAAAACAAAGATCAAGCAAGCGTTGAAAATTGCACACGAAACTCATCAAGGAGTGGTTCGTACAAAACAGTACCCAAGAAGCAAATTCTATTGGCCTACAATGGATTTAGTTGAAAGACTGATCAGAAATTGCTCAGCTTGTGTGCTAAACCAGCCACTGCACGAAGACCAACCACTTCAACTACCACCGAGACCCTGGAGTAAACTAGGTATTGACTTAGTGGGGCTAATCCACAATGAATACATACTTACCTTAATTGACTATTACACCTCTTACCCAGAAGCTGTTGTAATATCTGACATATCTTGAAGTACAGTGTCTGCAGAGATGTTGAACATTTTCGCATGCTTTGGCTACCCCCTAGAGGTGGTTACAGATAATTCGTTGGACAGACTTTTGAAAAATAGTTGACAATGTGTGGAATCAAACATATTAGAGCATCGCCATATTATCCTAAGAGCAGTGGGAAAATCGAGCGATTCCATCAATATCTGATAAAAGCATAAAGTGAGGGGAAGAGCTGGAAAGAGGAGCTTCCAAGATTATTTTAGCTTATCGCTCAACACCTCATTGTGCTTCAGGAGAAACACCAGCCTTTCTCATGTTTGGAAGAGACATTTGAACTAAGTTGCCAAGTATTGAGAAAGGAAAAAACCAAAACCAAAAGACATTCAAAATCACCACAAAACAGAAAATGAAACATTATGCTGACAAAACAAGCAGAGCCAAAGAACAAAACTTCAATGTTGGAGACATTGTGTACATCGCAAGTATGGAGAATGGAAAGTTGGATGCCAAGTTCCCGAGACACCCACTATGTGTTACTGGGACAAACCTCAGACAACTAATTTGAATTAGTGAGCACAGAAGATGGATCTAGACTCATAAGGAATATCAAACAGCTTCGACACACTCCTTTGCAACTTGAGTTTAGCATTCCAGAACCTGCAAATGACTTACCTGTGAACAATGGATCTTCAGAAACTGAGACATCTCAGTACAGCCCAGCAGTGGAAGTATCTCATGGATCTACGGACAATCTCGAATCACAAGTGACTACCAGAAGTGGTAGAGTTTTGAGAAAGCCAGCAAAGTTTAAGGACATGTAAAAAAAAGTCTGAAATCAAAAGAACTGATATGAAAGTAGATTTGTATCAAAAGAGTACCAGAAATGTTACATTTGACTGTTGGATATTGTTCATATAGAAGCACTGCAAAATTGCTGTTGAAAAGTACTTTTTGAATGTAAAATAAAATAATTTATTGTGTAAGCTATTTTAACAGAAATGTTAGAAATGTGAATATAATTGTATTGTTAAAGTTGTGGACTTTAAATCTAAAAAGGGAAGGGATGTAGTATACTGATTGGACTATCGCGAGATTACCTACTTGTTATAGTGATGAAGACGGGACTAGAACAAGAGAATGGAAATGCTTTGAACTGTGAAACCTAGAAAAGTAATAGTTGCTATTAAAGCGAGTTAAACGAGAACCAGGACTACTTCTTTAATTCAACAACACAACAGATACGTTCTTTGTGTTTCCAAAGCCGCACCGCAAGCGATGGGTTTTAATGTTCAGAACGAGCGGCGGTGGTCTTAACAAAAATCCCCCTGCCAGAATATACTATCTTCAATAGGCTCTAAAGGTAGTTAGCGTCTATGAATGGATTACTGTGTCACTATTTATATTTGTTATTTTATTAACTTTATATTTTACTCTGAATTGTTGAAAAATAACCCGTAAGTAAGCGTTTCACTGTTAGTCTACACCTGTTGTTTACGAAGCATGTGACAAATACAATTTGATTTGATATGATTTAATGTAGTGACAGTATCCACGACCCACGAAGAGCCATCACAACTGAGTGGGGCATGAGTCGTGATCATGGAGGGATGACCGGTCATCTTTCTTCTTTGGCCCTTTTATCAGACTGAGGTGCTTCTCAATTACTTAATTAATGGAAATAAAAGACGAAAGACATGAGTGCATATGAGAACGCATTAGGTGCACATGTTTTGTAGAACACAAACATGGTTGAGTCCGTGTTTGTGCTCTGTGCGTGTGTTATACATCTGGCTAGAAATTAATTAGGAAATTATCTCAACAGAGAAACATTTCCTCGTGTGCTACCTATATCCCCTCAATAGAATCCCCATACTTTAACGATGACAGCTTCTCCATCCTAGAGGGGAAGATCAACCATTTCCAGGCCCAGGGACATTAACTAGTCTTTGGCGACCTAAATGCCAGAACTGGACAAGAACCGGACACTCTCAGCACACAGGGGGACAAACACCTACCAGGAGGTGACAGTATTCCCCGTCAAATATGCCCCCCTAGACACAACTATGACAAAAGAACCGACAAAAAAGGGTCACAACTCCTGCAGCTCTGTTGCACGCTGGGTCTGCACATAGTCAATGGTAGGCTTCGAGGAAACTCCAATGGTAGGTACACCTACAGCTCATCCCTTGGCAGTAGTACTGTAGATTACTTTATCATTGACCTCAACCCAGTGTCTCAGAGCATTCACAGTCAGCCCACTAACACCCCTATCAGATCACAGCAAAATCACAGACTACACGAACAGAGCAATACTCAATCATGAGGCATCAAAGCCAAAGGAACTGCACAATATTAAGAAATGCTATAGATGGAAGGAATGTAGTGTAGAAACCTACCAAAAAACTATTTGTCAACAACAAATTCAATCCCTTTTTAGACAACTTCCTGGACAAAACATTTCACTGTAATAGTGAAGGTGTAAACTTGGCAGGAGAAAGCCTAAACAGTAAATTTGACCTTTATGCTTCCCTATCAAATCTAGAAATTTCAAGCAGACAATCTACAAAAATTAAAAACAATGACAAACGGTTTGATGAAGAATGCAAAAACCTAAGAAAAAAACATAGAGACCCAGAAAACCTGAGTCTAAGCCTTCACTATGGTGAATCACTAAAACAATAAAGAAGTACACTAAGGAAAAAGAAGGAACAGCACATCAGAAATCAGCTCAATGTAATTGAAGAATCAATAGAATCTAAACCACTTCTCCAATCTTTTTGGCTCTATAACAAAGAACAAACAGCAAAAACATATACTGTACATGATCAATTACAAATCTTAGAATCATCTATTAAAGACTACCAGAACCCACTGGATTCTCCAATTATATTTGAATGAACTACAGGACAAAATACAAACCCTCCAACCCAAAAAGGCCTGTGGTGTTGATGGTATCCTAAATGAAATGATAAAATATACAGACCACAAATTCCAGTTGGCTATACTTAAACTCTTTAACATCATCCTCGGCTCTGTCATCTTCCCCTGTATTTGGAACCAAGGACTGATCACCCGAATCCACAAAAGTGGAGACAAATTTGAACCCAATATCTACCATGGGATATGCGTCAACAGCAACCTTGGGAAAATCGTCTGCATTATCATTAACAGCAGACTCGTACATTTACTCAGTGAAAACAATGTACTAAGCAAATGTCAAATAGGCTTTTTACCAAATTACCGTACGACAGATTGAGACTCTGCATGCAGAATTCTGCAAAAACATCCTCCATGTACAACGTAAAACACAAAATAATACATGCCGATACCCGCTAATTATCCAAATCCAGAAAAGAGCCGTTAAATTCTACAACCACCTAAAAGTAAGCGATTCCCAAACCTTCCATAACAAAGCCATCACCTACAGAGAGATTCACCTAGAGTCCCCTAAGCAAGCTGGTCCTGGGGCTCTGTTCACGAACACAAACAGACCCCACAGAGCCCCAGGATAGCAACACAATTAGACCCAACCAAATCATGAGAAAACAAAAATATAATTACTTGACACATTGGAAAAAAGTGACAAAAAAACAGAGCAAACTAGAATGCTATCTGGCCCTAAACAGAGAGTACATAGAGGCAGAATACCTGACCACTGTGACTGACACAAAATTAAGGAAAGCTTTGACTATGTACAGACTCTGTGAGCATAGCCTTGCTATTGAGAGAGACCGCCGTAGGCAGACCTGGCTCTCAAGAGAAGACAGGCTATGTGCACACTGCCCACAAAATGAGGTGGAAACTGAGCTGCACTTCCTAACCTCCTGCCAAATGTATGACCATATTAGCGACACATATTTCCCTCAGACCCACAAAGAATTCGAAAACAAATCCAATTTTGATAAACTCCCATATCTATTGGGTGAAATACCACAGTGTGTCATCACAGCAGCAAGATTTGTGGCCTGTTGCCACAAGAAAAGGTCAACCAGTGAAGAACAAACACCATTGTAAATACAACCCATATTTTTTATTTATTTTATTTTAAATGTTTATTTATTTTCCCTTTTGTACTTTAACTATTTGCACATCGTTACAACACTGTATATAGCCATAATATGACATTTGAAATGTCTCTATACCTTTGTAATGTTTACTGTTCATTTTTTACTGTTTATTTCACTTTTGTTTTATTATCTATTTCACTTGCTTTGGAAATGTAAATGTTTCCCATGCCAATAAAGCCCTTAAATTGAAATGAATTGAAATAGAGAGAGAGAGAGAGAGGGAGAGATAAATCATTCTCTCTACTATTATTCTGACATTTCACATTCTTAAAATGAAGTTGTGATCCCAACTGACCTAAAACAGGGAATTTTTACTAGGATGAAATGTCAGGAATTGTGAAAAACTGAGTTTAAATGTATTTGGCTAAGGTGTATGTAAACTTGCTTTGGCAATGTTAACATAGGCCTACGTTTCCCATGCCCTTAAATTGAGAGAGAGAGAGAGAGAGATCCTCAAAAGACGTCATCACCTGTCGCCATATTGGTTCAGGAGGTGGAAAGTATCAAAGTAGAAGTCTGTTGCAGGTTTGCTGCTGTATTTATTCGAATATTCATTTGAACTACACCACATTTTACGATCAGCCGTGTTTATTTATGCATCGGAAACACTAAAACCTTCAGGAGGTACCGAAATAATTTGTATTTAGCTGTTGTTTGGACGTGCATCCAGAGTATGACTTCCCTAACACAGCGAAGTTCGGGCCTGGTGCAGAGGAGGACCGAGGCCTCTCGTAATGCAGCCGCCGACAAGGAGAGGGGGTCCGAGGATGAGGACTACGAGCCACGCCAAGAGGAAGAGGACGAGAAGGGAGACTCCAAAGAAACTCGACTGACGTTGATGGAAGAAGTGTTGCTGTTGGGATTGAAAGATCGAGAGGTATGTTAGCTATCTATCGTCGTTAGCCTGTTGTGCTAGCGAGCGGAGTTAGCTCGCTAGCTTACTAGCTGGTTTGTTTACGTTCTAACCAGCTAACGTTCACGAGTTAGCTAACATATTATGCTCTTCCTACATTAGCTAACATTACTAGCTGTTATGTAATATTCAACATTACAAACTGAAGGTTATCAGACGTGTCACTTCTATATGTTTGTTTTATTTATCCAGGAAGTGTCACTAATCCTGCGAAGCAATAAGGACTCCTTGCCATTTTTTCCCAACAGGGCTACACTTCCTTCTGGAATGACTGCATTTCGTCTGGTCTTCGAGGGTGTATGGTCATCGAACTGGCTTTGAGAGGAAGACTGCAGCTAGAGGCTTGTGGCATGAGGAGGAAAAGCCTGTTGGCCAGAAAGGTGAGCACTCACAAGTTACAACACTTCTATTAAAACACACTGATAAACTTGGTCGCCTGCCAAACAGCCAGACTTCCGTCTTCACCTGACGACGATGATAATAGGGCTGTGCTGAACTTGTCATACTTGTATTCGTAATCATATCCGTTTACCACACTTGATAGGCTACTCGTTGTGCGGTAAAGCGCTATCGCTCAGAGCACATCTGATGTTCCTTCACTCATTCACACATCGTTCACGATCCCGACATCTGAAATGCACATGACTTGCGTTCATAGTCTTAATTATCAACAAAATAGGTTAATAAATAATGCATGGCTGGCTGCAGCTACCTGCATTTATTTCTTACAATTTAGTTCGCTCGTCCTAGAAGCCTAGGCTACATTTCACTTTTGAGAGGAGCAAAACTTCTCCCAACATGTATCCTATGCCACAACATTTGTACAATCAAAATTAACTATTTACATTTGTAATTTATCTTCTAATCTGTTGCTCAGAAAACATGTCTGGGACAAATAATAATAGCAAGCAAGCATTGGCTTAGCTCACAGCATAACAACAGAAATAAGTATTCTTCAGCAATGGAATAGCCTATGCGGAAAGACGAAGAAGTCCACTAAACAACACCAAGTAGACAGAGAAAAACAACCATATGGCGGTATAAAATATAACTCAATTGATAGCTAGAACAACAATGACTAGCTATGGATTGTGATTCACATATGATGTTTGGACTGGAGAGTTGAGTCCTAAGGAGAGTGAGTGAGTTTAAGGGAGCCTCGTGTGTGTCTGGGGAATTAAGGGGCGGGAGAGCGGCTTCACCAATGAGTTGACGGATAAAGTAGTAAACAATGCCAAAAAACCTCTACGATATGGCCTCAGCAAACTAGATCGATAGCTAGAAGAACAGCGGCTAGCTAGCTACGGATTTTGATTCACAATGTTTGGAGAGAGTTGTGCCTGACAACGAGTGGGAGCCATAGCCTGTGTGAGAGACATGTCTGTCTGGGAAAACAAGAGAGTAGAGAGGCTTTTTCTAATCTAATCATGGCCTAAACCCGCCCGTGTCTCTACTGACAACTGAATCAGACAGTTGAGGCAAAGTATTCCGCATGGTTTGAGTGACATGAGAAATTCTGTCTTTTAGCAACTTTCCCTGATTACAGATAATAACATAACATAATCTTATCATAATTGTATCCGGCAAATTCCGCATGTCCATAATGATACTTGTTTTGTCCTAGTATTCGGCACACCGCTAGAAAATAACTCTGACCTGCAGTGGGAGGGGTCAGTCCAAAATGTCAGTTCGGGCATACCAATTGGTGGAATGTCAGAGCTTTGACAGCTATGAGGTGGAGAGTTTTGGGCGCGTTCCTCTGCCCAGTCGTTGCTGATGCATGTCAGATCATACAATGCCTGGATGGGTATTTTAACTATCAGCTAACCACATCACATGTTAGAGCAGTCTAGTGCCCGGTGGCACAGTCGATGACATGGCACGCAACCATTGGTTGATACATGTGTGTTTATGCTGACGAGGTTGTCTGACGTGTGTGTTTAACGTATTGCAATGTGTGGAGGACTAGCAGTGTATGCCAACAATAGCAGGGTAAACCTGTGTGTGTTTTATCCCAGTGTTTGTGACCTTTTAAAACTGGTTTCTTTTTTGTCAGGTGATCTGTAAGTCAGACACTCCTACAGGAGACATGTTGCTGGACGAGGCCCTGAAGCATATCAAAGAGACCCAGCCCCCAGAGACAGTTCAGAGCTGGATAGAGCTGTTGAGCGGTGAGCAGACATTGATTACCCCCTCGTCCTTCTCTTAAATCTCTCTCTGTTTATTTTACTGGCTTTCTTCTTCATTCTCATGTAGATTTGATTCAACACATTTGACAGGTGCCCCCTTCTTTCCCTCTCCCCTTCCCAGTCCTATTTTAAACCAAATATCTTTGTCTTATATATAATATAGGCCATTTACGATTTTGACTTGATGTTCAGGTGAGACGTGGAACCCATTGAAGCTGCACTACCAGCTGAGGAATGTCCGTGAGCGCCTGGCCAAGAACCTTGTGGAAAAGGGCGTTTTGACCACGGAGAAACAGAACTTCCTCCTCTTCGACATGACCACACACCCACTGACCAACGACACCATTAAACAGCGGCTGGTCAAGAAAGTCCAGGAGTCCGTCTTGGACAAGTGGGTAAACGACCCGGGGCGCTTCGACAAGCGTGTGCTGGCCCTGATCTTCCTGGCCCACTCTTCAGACGTGCTGGAGAACGCCTTCGCCCCGCTGCTGGACGAACAGTATGACCTGGCCATGAAGAGGGTACGTCTGCTGCTGGACCTGGAGCCAGAGGCGGAGAGCACCAAGGCCAGCGCCAACGAGCTGCTGTGGGCCGTGGTGGCAGCCTTCACCAAATGAAGCCCTACCGGAAACAAACGAGAGATGGAATTTAAAAAAACACTACAGACCTATGAGGCTCAGAACTCCCATGTTCTGATATGACGACAACGATGATGATCACGGAGCATGGCCCTCCCTCTGTATTGAGACATGGCAGATACCCCTGACCTCTGAGTCACTGTCCTGTTCTCTCCTGGCCAGTTGGGTGACATCCAGTACTCTGTGTGTGTGTGTGTCCCAAATGGCACCCTATTCCCTATATGGCTCTGGTCAAAAGTAGTGCACTACATAGGGAATCGGGTGCCATTTGGCACGTGGCCTTTCTGTTCACTGTGAGACCTTGTGTAACCTTGAGCACTTGCGTCAGTAGCTGGCACCCACCCAGGTCGGTGTTCTTCCATTTAGAAGGGACTTTAAAACTGCTAGGCCTTGCTTGACCACCATGGCCCAGACCTACTGACATGATCATCTGACCTGATATGATGACCGATGACCTACCAGAGGACCTGATATGTTCTGATATCGTACAGAACATTATTTGTCTTTGCTTTTGCGTTAGTCACTTTGAGGAGGGTGCATTCTACACAAGTTCCTAGACATGACCTATAGACATCATGTCGTTTTATCTTGCGAATAAATGTTAACCATCTCCAAACTATTTTGCACATTCAACAAGAGACCTAGAGGAGTTGACTATTTGTGAAAACAGAAAAAATACTGAAAAGTTTTATTCCATGTACCATTTATTTTGTTCAGGGCACCAAACAATGCATGCTTTATTCCTGTTAAGATTTACTTTCTGTCCCCCTCTCCATGTACTAAAGTCATTTAGTCATTCTGCTAAATGACTAAAATGTAAATGTAAATGTAAAATGTAAAGTGTCGTAGCTTGTCCATACCATCAGTTTCAGACTATTCTCTGCTCTGCAACTCTTATCATGCTATTGCAGATATCCAGACATTGCACGTCTCCTCTTTGCAGGCGAACTGGTTTCGGGTGTTCATGTGTGCAAAGTCATATTTTGAAGAGGTACAGTCTCAAGAAAGAAATTCTCTCAAATCTGACAAATCTCTATGTCCTTTTAGTTAGTGTATTGAAAAATGATATTGGCATATGACTGGATAGGAGAAGCTTCTCCTCCTAAAACAGGCTAATTGTATTTTATATGGCTTAGTCTCCCTATCGGACAGTATAATCTTAACGCTTTTGATTTTATGCCATAATATGTATATTTTTTCTATTGAGACATTTTTATTGCTTTAATATAATTCACATAATTTCATTCAGATTTAGTTGGTTGTCATCAATGGTTTGGCCTTTTCCTTTCCTCTTCTATGACTGTCTGTTGGTTGTACTGTTCATGACTCAGTGAGTAGGAGTTGCCCCTAACCACTGACACGGTGGAAGATCCTCATTATGGTTAGGGTTATCTGATCCTAGATCTGTGGTTAGGGGTAACTTCTACCTTGAGCATTTGACTCATCTGGAGGGTGTAAAGACCAAGTATGGTGGAGGGATCGGGTGGGGTTAATGATTATATGGTATGGAGGGACTGATTATTATATAGAATTTGATAAATGAATGTACAGTGTAATAAATGAAAGGGTGTTCTCTATACTTCTGTAGGTTTATTTTTTACCACACAATAAAGGCTAGATCGTTTAAGTGCCTGAATACAGCACTGTGTAGCTCTCCTGTCATTCTTATCTGGCCTTTTTGGATCACAATTCCCTGATGAAAATTAATTTGATTATTTCTATATCACCTGGCTGAAACAGCCTACTGTCTCACTGTGACATTATTAAGCAACAAATACAGATAATTTCACAAGATTGCAGATTTTGAAAACAACTTTTAATCGCTCTTGGCACAATTCATTAAAACAAAACGAATGTAAACCTCACATAAGGCATCAGAGCACTTCAAAGTCATATGTCTATGATCCAAAACATATCCCCAACAACTGATAATCCTCCTTTGTCATCGTACTTTCTTGTAGGATAGGTCCTGTCAGCTCTGGATCCAATGTTCACGTCTGATCGTCCATATGAATGGCTGCCCATTGGGCTACCAAATGTCCGAACGACACACCAACAGTGGTCCACTGGTTTTGCCATTACACAATGTAACAGGTTCTGTTCACTCTCCATCGACATCGTGGGGAGATGAGTACCGGCCACTTTGGCATTGGATTGTGGGGCAGATCTAGGCAGACTGTCCTCTTCTTGACTTCATCTCAGGTGGCCGCAAATGCACCTCTGAACGACCAGGGGGGAACTGGAACACTCCGTCCCGGCTGCTGCACAGCTACCAAAACCCCTGCCCTCAGGCACTGAGATTGAATTCTATCTTCTTGTTTCTGTGATCTTCACTGAGTGGGTTGAACTCACTCACTTGACTTTGATTATATTTTTGTAATGTTTTGTCAATATTTCCATTAATTTGGATCTCCAGTCCAGGACGTCACTAGCGAGGGCGTCTCCAACTTTACGCAGCTGATGCGCACAGTCCAGAATGGGAGTTAGATCTGGAGAGAAGAGAAAGTAATGGTTTAGGCGAGCAATTAAACATAGGATAATGTCTCATTTGTGGTAAAATCTTAAATTCAATAGCAATTTTAAACAAAACTATCAAATTAGCTGGTGCGTAATTACCTTTTCCGGTCATATTGATTGCGCTTGCTTTCTGTTTCTTTGTTGAGCTCTTCAAGAGTTCTGTTTGTACTTGTATCCAAACGTGTTCAGCTGTGTATGGCTTGTCAGTCAGTGAGAGGTTTCTGCTAATGTTAAAGTTCACTCCATTATATAGCATTAGTGATGGTGACGTAAGTTGTGGATCCCACTGTGCTAGTCCCACCTCCCAATCACCTGCTGTTTTTACAGTCATTTACAAACCTCTCTGTTAGACACGTCCTTATAGATTGAACTGAAATCAGATTGGCAGCTGTTTATGATTGTAGGCTAATTCACTTGGAAGGAACACAGTGATATGTCCTGCATGGAATCAAATCGTGCTATTGTTATTCCATTTGTACAGTGAACTTCAGTCAATAGTTTCCATACCAAAATATTTTTGTTGCAAATTGAGCTGACCACTGACTCACCACATCCTAAAGCTATTGCTTAGGCTACATACATACAGTATATTTGATTTTTAATAATACATATTATATAATTGGTCATTTGTGGGGTGGGCCTAGAATAAAAGCATGCATTACACTATCCACAAACTCATTTAGGAGAGTCCCTTGGCCCTCACTGACCATGGGTGCCCAATGATCCAAGTAAAGGTTAATAAGGACCAGCGATAGTAAAACTATTTATACTATTTTGTGGAATAAAAAGGTCCTCATAAATATCTGAAATATTGATGCATAAAATACTAGTCAGTTATATCCTTATAATAATAGAACATATCAATTAGGGATATTCTCTTGGCCTCCATTTGAAAGTTGATTGGCACAGTGCACTTTGCACAGCAGCAAGCAACAGTCCATAACATGTGTGATAAGTGATGCTGTGTGTACAGACATGTTAAGTGTACAACACACCTGCAATCAACACCATACTGGCTTAGGACACGTTATTTGATATTTTTTCCCCATGGGAGAGAGCTTGCACACTTACATAAGCCAGTCATAAAAATGTATTGGTTTGCTCAAAGTACAATCTGAAATGATAGATAGAATGACAATACAGGACAGGAACATCTGTCAACAGTTCACCTGTGATTGAAACATTCGTAAATTGATAAAGTGACAAACGACAATTGATAAAGCTAGATTGATTGTGCAACATTGGCAAGTGTTGCAAAGACTCCAATTGTCAAAGACTGTTCTCTCTGCTACCGCACGCCAAGCGGTACCGGAGCGCCAAGTCTAGGTCCAAAAGGCTCCTAACAGCTTCTACCCCAAGCTGCTGAACAATTAATCAAATGGCCACCCAGACTATTTACATTGACACTGCTGCTACTTGCTGTTTATTATCTATGCATAGTCACTTTACCCCTACCTACATGTACAAATTACCTCGACTAACCTGTACCCCCGCACATTGACTCGGTACCGGTACCCCTGTATATAGTCTTGTTATTGTTCTTTTATTGTGTTACTTTATATACAAAAATGTACTTTAGTTTATTTAGTAAGTATTTTCTTAACTCTATTTCTTGAACTGCAATGTTGGTTAAGGGCTTGTAAGTAAGCATTTCACGGTGTTGTATTCGGCGCATGTGACAAATAAAATTTGATTTGTTTCTAAGAAATACAGGTGCATTTGAGGAACAATTTGTTTCCCTATAATGAACATTACAGAGCATCAGTTGACCTTCCTATATGGTTAGACATTTCTGGAGGTTCATTTTAGGGCTCTTTGTGCTAATTTTTATGGGTTAACAAACAATGTCTAATATGTGTCAAAGTCCTGCATCTGCACCAGATTCAGAACTGATTTGAACATAATTTCCCTCCTGTCCTGAGTGTCCTTATATTCCTGGCCATAATAGCTACAGCAGTGGTGACTAACATGTTGTGGCTTGTCCTGGGCGTGCCTAACTGATGTGGGGAAGTACTGTACAGTTCTGCTATGAGTGCACCTGCTGTCAGCTGACGCCTGGGTCCAATTTATTAGTGCACACTGTAGCAAAACGTTTTGCAAAGGAAAATGAAAACAATGGTTTCTTATTGGACAGTGTTCAGGTAGTCCCTCCCTGTTTCATTCCGTTTTCCTTTCCGTTTGGTGCCTGGTGAATATGACCCTTGGTTGAACCCAGAGGCTCACAATGACACCATTACAAGGAACTTGTAAACATAATTATATGTTGTTATTTTGTTCTCTTCCCCTAAGGTCACCAACGTGTAGCCTACTGTATGACCCGTCCTTAACATTGTGTCAAGGAATATTTTAGAGGATGTTTTCATATTAGGGCCTCACAATGTGGAGCAATTGTATACTTCTGTTTACGAATCTCTTATCACTGTTAAACTACTCACAACAATAGCGTCCTTTCTTCCAAAAATTCAGAACACACGTTTGAACCTTCAGTTGTATAATGAACCAAGGGATAAATGAACCATTCATGTTGACCTGATGCAAAGGAAATGAGTTGGATATAGACCTATCAGATAGTACACTGTCTTATAGGCCCTAGGGTTAGTTCACAAAACCTAAAACAACTCTTACAAGCATTGATAGAACACATTATTATTTTGATATTTTAGTGATTGCTAAAATGTATGCATTTATTTTTTATTTCAGAACTGTTGTCAAATGTACTATCAATACAAGACACTTTTTGTATGCATACTTTTATTTAATAGCATAAAGACTGCAAATGTGGCTTTTAAAGGGGCAATATGCATTTGCAACTTCCCTTTTTGAACTTTTAAATGTATGATATTGTAGCAAACGGCGGGGCAGGGAAGCGAACCCGGGTCACTGGTGTGAAAGGCAAACACCCTACACATCGCGTGAATAGGGTTAACCCACTTGTGGGATTTGTATATCGAGGATCGCTACAATATAACCCATAGATTCTTATAAATGCCTCATGAACTGTCGTACCCTATCAGAAACCAAAATATGATCTCGTTTTACTCCAATGTTTGTAAATGATGCAATTGTAAACAAACACTGTATAGCCTCAAAACATAATTAATACTATAATTTGTATATTGTGAATGGGAAGTAAGTCCTTACATCCATAGCTCTGTCAATTAATTTGAGTGGTTACTGGTTACATTTCTCCAGACCCATCCCTCAGCTATTTCCCAAAACAGCGGACCGGTGTTGCTTTGTTGTTGGTTTGAATTGCAGATTGCCGCTTTAAAATTACGAACATAGCCCTAAACTGTGACCAGAAGCACAGCAAGAGAACATCATTTCCCACAACTCAATATAAATTGTATGTCCGGGTGCAAACTCGCGCCACTGACTTCTAGATCACCCGAACAGTAGGACAGCCTTGTGGTGAATGTACTTCATCCAGTTCATTTGGAATCAAGATCAGGTAAACCTCGAACCACTAGGGTAGACATTTTGCAGGCCTGTTATCTCGCGCCTTCACACACAGCATCCGCGAACACTACACTCGAGCTCATACAGTGAAACGTTGCACGTAAGTACTGTAGCTAATGTTGCTATGTAGATTTCATACCTAGAGCGAACCACTGTGCAAAGCTATATGCAACATTGTAACGTGCTGCAAGAACGCTGCTGTTGCATGCTCGATTGATTTGATCGAGATACATTTTTGCAGTTTTGGTTAATTCAGGCCTACCTATCCAGAAGATGCGCGTGCTATAATAGCTCAACAACGTGTGCAATAATTCGAGCGTAACAGTCCTATATTGCGAATGAAAATAATAAACAGAACAGAACAATGACTTTCATTTGCATATTCGATGATCACGAGGACAACTTCTGGGTACAGCGTGAGGGGAAACGGTAGTTGGGCAAAATGTTCTTCGCACCACATGACAAAATGTGTAGAATTGCAGGGACTAAGCTTTTAAACCTGCAAAATTATCTCAACCAACAAGAGGGGTGTGAACAATTTCTGTCATGAACAGTGCTTGTGCACATTGAAATAGACGTGGCGTGCGCGCGCAGGGGAGGTGCGACATGTTCTCCAATGCTGGAAGGGGTGCCCGAGTGAAAAAGTTTGGGAACCCCTGGTCTACATGATGAGATTGTTATGGATAAGAGCAAGAATATTTTTATTTGTCAAACATCGATCATCATGTCACCAGAATAAGACCCTCGATATTTTTGGGAAAGCAGCATCAAGATCACAGTGCATTTTCACCACAAAGTCAAATTCATCATAATTTATTTCATCTGTAGCCTAATAATATGCATGGGTTCCCGATTTGTAGTGGGAGGAACACACAGCATGTCATCACCTGACTCCAAATTTACTTTGATATGATGGTTGTTGTATCAATATTTGCGCATAAAGGCGTTTCCACCGCCATTTCTGGCATCATTAATTTTACCAACACCTAAAGATCCCACCATTTTGAACCAACAGATGATCCGTCTGCATTTATAAAATTGTCCGGAAACTTCCTGTTTCCATGACAGCTGTCGTGATTTATTTTTATACAGTTATGACTTTACTCTCCTAAAAATTGTGGTTGGAAACGTGGAAATGTGGTTACTGTAGCAATTTTTCTAAGCTGGAAAATGTTCTGTGGAAATGTTATAGATATCTGCATGTTGTCAACCCAATATGTTTTACATTGTCATTCTGTCCGTAGGCCCATGGCCTATTGTAGACTAGACCATTAGTTATTAATCACACAGTATGAAACAAACGTAATAAAGAACAGTATCAGAGGTAGCCCAACCGGCCGGCAGATGCCACTATTATTCCTTATATGTCGTTTGCCATCTGCATACAACTGGAATGTACGCCGCCTGCTATACACTCATGACCCCCGCGACCGGTTCATACATAAAACATCCTCCATTCAGGCTGCAAGGGCGTCGGTTTCCCCCTTAACTAGCTTTAATGGCGAGCCGCATGAAAAAAAAAAAAATGACAAAAATATGCGTACTGTCTCAACAAAACACAACTTTCCACCACCATGCTAATGCTACTTCATGATTTTGCACATTTTATTTATTTAACTCAGTTAAGAACAAATTCTTATTTACAATTATGGCCAAACCAGGACAACACTGGGCCAATTGTGATACAGCCTGGAATCAAACCAGGGTCTGTAGTGACGCCTCTAGCGCTGAGATGCAGTGCCTTAGACAGCTGCGCCACTCGGGAGCCCATAAATATGAATGAAAACAAAAATGAGTTTTTTGGTCTTAATTTAAGGTTAAGCATATGGTTAGCAATGTGGTTAAGGTTAGAATTACATTTGAAGAAGAACAATTGTGAAATAGACCAGATTTATGACTTTGTAGCTGTGGTAATTAGTGACGACCTTCAGCCAGACTGCTGCAACCTGATTGGCTGGACATCAGAAAGTAGCATTAGCCACTTTAGCATGGTGGTGTAAAATTGTGTTTTATTAAGACAGTAACTTCCGTATATTTTCCCAGTTTTTATTCCGGCGGCTCACCATTAAAGTTAGTTAAGGAGGAAACCAACACCCTTGCAGCCTGAATGGAAGATGTTTTATGTACGAGCCGGTCGCCAGGGAACACGAGTGTATAGCGGGCTGCATACATTCCAGTTTGACACAGATGACAAACGACGTAAAATTAATATTAGCGCCATCAGCCGGCCGGTTGGGGTATGTCAGACTTAACAATATGATAGAACAAAACCATGCACATTTATTTTGAAAACATTGTGTATGAAGTCCTATGGAAGGATGGTATTTACTCAGCTATTGCATCCCTCCGTTTCCAGGATGCCCAAGTCAAAGGAAGTTCTGTCCTCAACCTCTGGCAGCGGCAGTGGCAGTGACTCCAACAGTGAGAGTGAGACCAAGGTAAACGTAACAATCCCACACTCCTGTGTTGTATCCAAAGTCACAGAGTAAAGACGTTAGCCTACAGTACACTTGTGACTGTTTTGTGGTTCAGTCAATAAAACTAAATAGGACACAAATATTTCAAAATGCTCACACAAATTCAACACGGAAGCTGTGTTTTTATATTTACATTTTACATTTAGCAGACGCTCTTATCCAGAGCGACTTACAGGAGCAATTAGGGTTAAGTGCCTTGCTCAAGGGCACATTGACAGATTTTTCACCTAGTCGGCTCGGGGATTAGAACCAGCAACCTTTCGGTTACTGGCACAACGCTCTTAACCATTAAGCTACCTGCCGGTAGTTAGTCTTCTTCAAACTGCATATATTTTATGCTAATGTACTTATTGTAATCAGAGGGTTCCTTTTGCACTTTCAAAACAGAATGTTTGAAAAATGTTATATGCTGTATTGAAATGAACCCCTGTTGTAGGCCAAGAAGAGAAAGCAGGCAGCACCAGAGAAACCAGCTGCTAAGAAACCGAAAGGAGGAGAGAGTTCCAAGCCGGGTGGAACCTCCAAGGGAAGTCACAACCAGGACAAGGATGACAACAAGTTCCAGGTAAGCAGTGAAGAACAACAGTGTCAGTCCATCCCCGGTACAAAAGATGCAACATTAGCTGCATGTCGATATGGTTGTGTCTCTATGTTTCTCTTTTTTATTTCAGATTGGGAAGATGCGGTACGTGAGCGTTCGTGAATTCAAAGGTAAATGTCTGATCGACATCCGTGAGTACTGGATGGATCAGGAGGGGGAGATGAAGCCTGGCAGGAAAGGTAAGAAACCTGGCTTTGGGGTGTGAAGCCTACAGCAGGGCCCCTGGGGCCTAGTTTATAACCGTTGCGTACATTTTACACTAAATATCTGCGCCGTTCCTGAAAAGACTGCGCACGCACAACAATATTGAGATTAATTAACTTGGCTCACACAATACATACAAACAATGCATGTTTCCTGTTATAATTCAGACCTGTCATAAAACTGTGTGCGTGAATGAGCATTACAGTGAGGGAAAAAAGTATTTGATCCCCTGCTGATTTTGTACGTTTGCCCACTGACAAAGAAATTATCAGTCTATAATTTTAATGGTAGGTTTATTTGAACAGTGAGAGACAGAATAACAACAACAAAATACAGAAAAACACATGTGAAAAATGTTATACATTGATTTGCATTTTAATGAGGGAAATAAGTATTTGACCCCCTCTCAATCAGAAAGATTTCTGGCTCCCAGGTGTCTTTTATACAGGTAACGAGCTGAGATTAGGAGCACACTCTTAAAGGGAGTGCTCCTAATCTCAGTTTGTTACCTGTATAAAAGACACCTGTCCACAGAAGCAATCAATCAATCAGATTCCAAACTCTCCACCATGGCCAAGATCAAAGAGCTCTCCGAGGATGTCAGGGACAAGATTGTAGACCTACACAAGGCTGGAATGGGCTACAAGACCATCGCCAAGCAGCTTGGTGAGAAGGTGACAACAGTTGGTGCGATTATTCGCAAATGGAAGAAACACAAAATAACTGTTAATCTCCCTCGGCCTGGGGCTCCATGCAAGATCTCACCTCGTGGAGTTGCAATGATCATGAGAACGCTGAGGAATCAGCCCAGAACTACACGGGAGGATCTTGTCAATGATCTCAAGGCAGCTGGGACCATAGTCACCAAGAAAACAATTGGTTACACACTACGCCGTGAAGGACTGAAATCATTATGCTTTGGGGGTGTTTTTCTTCTAAGGGGACAGGACAACTTCAATGCATCAAAGGGACGATGGACGGGGCCATGTACCATCAAATCTTGGGTGAGAACCTCCTTCCCTCAGCCAGGGCATTGAAAATGGGTCGTGGATGGGTATTCCAGCATGACAATGACCCAAAACACACAGCCAAGGCAACAAAGGAGTGGCTCAAGAAAAAGCACATTGTGGAGGGAGCTGAAGGTTCGAGTTGCCAAACGTCCGCCTCGAAACCTTAATGACTTGGAGAAGATCTGCAAAGAGGAGTGGAACAAAATCCCTCCTGAGATGTGTGCAAACCTGGTGGCCAACTACAAGAAACGTCTGACCTCTGTGATTGCCAACAAGGGTTTTGCCACCAAGTACTAAGTCATGTTTTGCAGAGGGGTCAAATACATATTTCCCTCATTAAAATGCAAATCAATTTATAACATTTTTGTAGGTTTAAAATAAACCTACAATTAAAATTATAGACTGATCATGTCTTTGTCAGTGGGCAAACGTACAAAATCAGCAGGGGATCAAATACTTTTTTCCCTCACTGTATAACTCCGCCTGAAAAACGCCCATCATTCACTTTTTATGGTGACAATAATGCCCTTATTTGCTGTACATTTACATTACATTTTACATTTTAGTCATTATACTTTGGAAGTATTGGAATCAGGCCAAGACAGTATCTAAAGAAAATAGCAACAGCGAACTTAATCGAATGTCTTTGGAGGTGTTGGCAGAATGTTTTCTTTTGTAGTAACATTTGCTGTATCTGACAATTTCTGGAAAAAAAGTTGTTTTGCAAATTGTGTGGACCTGTAAACGGGTTTGAATTCAATAATGTTTTGCATTTACTTTTTCCCGAACATAAATATGCTGCACTGCCCGCGAATTCTTGTCTACTCTGAAAAAAATGAAAACTACAGTATAGGCCTACTTACAGTGGTAGCCTACACTTCAATACAAAAGACCAACTGTCTGTTCACCTGTTGAATTCTACTGTATGTTATAAACCACGCTATCTTGCAGATGCATAGAGCAAAAACTTGAAATTATAATAGCCTATCTAATAGGCCCAAATAAATGAGAGGATGCATGGTAATTTCTTGTATGGCTACTTGGGTAATATTAACTTATCATGCCCAGAAAATGTGAGGAATGTATACTGCAATGGTTATGATATACAGTATTATGTTTATAAATGAAATATTGTCTACTCAAGAAATTTGACATTATAGTATTCAGACGTAGCCTACAAACAAAAATTGAAAAAATGAACTGTCTGTTCTACTGTTAAACTGCTCTTCGGATCGGATCTCATAGAGCAAAACAATTGAAATAGCATATCTATTTATTACTGCTGTGAAGTAGGTCCAATTAAATGAGAGATTGGACAAATGGTAGCCTATCCTAACTTGTTGTAGGTCTATAGGCTATTTGGCGAGTATGAAACCGTCACAGTCAGAAAAGGTGATTAATTTATTCTGCAATGATCATGGAAATAAAATAAATGATAGGAAGTAGAATTATTTTAGAATACAAAGATAAAATACTTTGTTCTTCTCACTAATGGCAAATTATTTCATTTTGTTATTATATTTAGCTAGCTGTATTATATATTTTTGTGAATACGAGTGTCATCATATATTCCCCAAAGCTACTTTTGACTTCTTGCAATGAAATACTTCAACCACTAGAAACTGCGTAAGCATGGTCTAAAGTTTACGCGAGGATAAGCACATTCTCACGTCAAGTTCAGTTTTGATAAATGCCAACTTTTACGTGAACTGGTGCACATGTTTTGGGGCATATTTTGTGTGTACGTAGCATTTATAAATGAGTCCCCTGGCCCCTGAACCAACAGACATGATGTTGCTATACAAACATATGGAATGATGAATCATTGGTTTAAATTGTTTTATCGTAATTTCGGTGCTTCAACCAACAATGATATATATTTGTTTATTCATGATTTGTAAACTACTTAACTAATAATTAACTGTCTATTATAAACTCATTAGGTACAGTACATTTACATTTCAAGGGGCAATCAGCAGTTGAAACATATATAACGGCTCTTAAATTCATAGACAGAGCTATAGATGCAAGGATTGACCATCCATTATATCAAAATTATAGTTTTAACCATGTTTTGAGGCTATATAGTGTTTGTTTACATTTACGTTGTTTACAAACATTGGAGTTAAACAAGTTTATATTCTGATGAGGTACGACAGTTGAGCTAAGCTAATGAGGCATAAGTTATTTTCTTCAAGAATCAATGGATACATATCATATATCAAGTCCAAAAATGGATGTAGCAACTGCAGATTACCCCTTTAAGACACGCTGTACAGTGGTATAAATAAATAATGTATGCACTAACTGTAAGTCGCTCTGGATAACAGCGTCTGCTAAATGACAAAAAATGTAAATGTAAATATACCCAGATTTGTGGTAATTTCTGGATTCTATATCTGAACCTAGATCAGTGGACTTGCCTCTGTCTAACTTTTCTCTGGTCTGTCCCAAGGTATCTCACTAATACTAGATCAGTTTACTAACCACTCTGTCTGACTGGTCTCTGCTCTGTCCCCAGGTATCTCACTGAACCCAGAACAGTGGAACCAGCTAAAGGATCAGATCTCTGAGATAGACGATGCTGTGAAGGCTATATAGGAGGGAGGCCTCTGGCTTCCTGGGATTTACAATCCACCACCTTACATTCTGTTTTTGTTCTTAACTTTACCACCTTTTTTAAAATTGTTAGTGAAACGTTTTTAAAGGAAGAGAACAACATTTTTTAAGTGACCGACCAAGACAACATTGTGTGTATATTTTAAGCTAAGTTTCTGTTGACTTCTTCTTGTGCTGTGTTTCGAAAACCCAATGTATGTTATGTTTGTTGTGTGATTCTGATGTAGCGAAGGATAGATCTGTGTGTGTGTGTGATTGGGTTTGCTATAATAAGTAATCAATAAAAGCCATTTTAAAGGGACAAAACATATTGTACACTTTTTTTTATTAGTAGTATCACTAACTACTAATAAATCAAATCAAATCAAATCAAATTTTATTGGTCACATGCGCCGAATACAACAGGTGCAGACATTACAGTGAAATGCTTACTTACAGCCCTTAACCAACAGTGCATTTATTTTAAACAAAAAAAGTAAGAATAAAACAACAACAAAAAGTGTTGAGAAAAAAAAAGAGCAGAAGTAAAATAAAGTGACAGTAGGGAGGCTATATATACAGGGGGGTACCGTTGCAGAGTCACTGTGCGGGGGCACAGGCTAGTTGAGGTAGTTGAGGTAATATGTACATGAACCTGAGTTATACAACTAGCACTGAGGCGGTTTTCACTAGTAGGAAGCCCACTGTGTGCAGTTCACCCTGCACTATCAGCTCAAACATAAATATCACTGTCATGTCTACCTCTGATAAGCCTTCCAGTAAAGCAATAAAAACAATCAAGAATCCCAGAAAAGTGCTAAAAATAGCCCACACTAACATATGTAGCCTAAGAAACAAGGTTAATGAAATCGATAATTCCTAGTAACAGATAACATTTATATGTGTGAAATGCTTAATAATGTATGTGAAATCAACAGAGGTATATTTTCTGGGTGACCTAAATATTGACTGGTTGTCATCAAGCTGTCAACTCACAAAGAAGCTACAAGCTGTAACCAGTGCCTGCAACCTGGTTCAGGTTATCAGTCAACCTACCAGGGTATTTACAAAGAGCACAGGAATGAAATCATCCACATGTATTGATCACATCTTTACTAATACTGCAGAAATCTACTCTAAAGCAGTATCCAAATCCATCAGATTTAGTGATCATAATATAGTAGCCATATCTAGGAAAACCAAAGTTCCAAAGGCTGGGCCTAATATAATGTATAAGAAGTTAAATCATTCGTTTTGTAGTGATTCCTATGTTGTAAAGAATATTTGCTGGTCTGTTGTGTGTAATGAGGACCAACCAGACTCTGCACTTGACACATTTATGAAATTGCTTATTCCAGTTACTAATAAGCATGCACCCATTAAGAAAATGACTGTAAAAACGGTTAAATCCCCGTGGATTGATGAGGAAATTATATATTTTATGGTTGCGAGGGACGAGGCAAAAGGAATGGCAAATAAGTTTGGTGTAAATTGAGAAATCATGTGACTAAACTAAACAAAAAGAAGAAGAAACTACAATGAAACAAAAATAAATTATATAAAGAATGATAGTAAAAAGCTTTGGAGCACCTTAAATTAAATTTTGGACAAAAAGGCGAACTCAGGTCCATCCTAAATTGAATCCGATGGCTCATTCATCACAAAACCCACTGATATTGCCAACTACTTTTTTCATCGGCAAGATTAGCAATGACATGCCAACAGCAAACTCTGAACCTACGCATCCATTCATAACTGACCAAATTATGAAACACAAGCATTGTAATTTTAAATTCCGTAAAGTGAGTGTGGAAGAGATGAAACAATTATTGTTTTCTATCAACAATGACAAGCCACCTGGGTCTGACAGCTTGGATCGAAAATTACTGAGGATGATAGCTTATTATATTGCCACTCCTATTTGCCATCTCTTCAAAGCCTACAGGAAAGTGTGTGCCAAAGTCATTCCGCTACCCAAGAATAGCAAAGCATCCTTTACTGGCTTAAACAGCCGCCCAATCAGCCTGCTACCAACCCTTAGTACATTTTTGGAAGAAATTGTGTTTGACCAGATACGATGCTATTTCACAGTAAACAAATTAACAACTGACTTTCAACATGCTTATAGGGAGGGGCACACATGTACAGCACTTACACAAATTACTGATGATTGGCTGAAATAAATTGATAATAAGAAGCTTGTGTGAGCTGTTTTGTTAGACTTCAGTGCAGCTTTTGACATTATCGATAATAATCTGCTGCTAAAACATACAGTGGGGAGAACAAGTATTTGATACACTGCCAAATTTGCAGGTTTTCCTACTTACAAAGCATGTAGAGGTCTGTACTTTTTATCATAGGTACACTTCAACTGTGAGAGACGGAATCTAAAACAAAAATCCAGAAAATCACATTGTATGATTTTTAAGTAATTAATTTCCATTTTATTGCATGACATAAGTATTTGATCACCTACCAACCAGTAAGAATTCCGTCTCTCACAGACCTTTTAGTTTTTCTTTAAGAAGCCCCCTTGTTCTCCACTCATTACCTGTATTAACTGCGCCTGTTTGAACTCGTTACCTGTATAAAAGACACCTCTCCACACACTCAATCAAACAGACTCCAACCTCTCCACAATGGCCAAGACCAGAGAGCTGTGTAAGGACATCAGGGATACAATTGTAGACCTGCACAAGGCTGGGATGGGCTACAGGACAATAGGCAAGCAGCTTGGTGAGAAGGCAACAACTGTTGGCGCAATTATTAGAAAATGGAAGAAGTTCAAGATGACGGTCAATCACCCTCGGTCTGGGGCTCCATGCAAGATCTCACCTCGTGGGGCATCAATGATCATGAGGAAGGTGAGGGATCAGCCCAGAACTACACGGCAGGACCTGGTCAATGACCTGAAGAGAGCTGGGACCACAGTCTAAAAAAAAAACATTAGTAACACACTACGCCGTCATGGATTAAAATCCTGCAGCGCATGCAAGGTCCCCCTGGTCAAGCCAGCGCATGTCCAGGCCCGTCTGAAGTTTGCCAATGACCATCTGGATGATCCAGAGGAGGAATGGAAGAAGGTCATGTGGTCTGATGAGACAAAAATAGAGCTTTTTGGTCTAAACTCCACTCGCCGTGTTTGGAGGAAGAAGAAGGATGAGTACAACCCCAAGAACACCATCCCAACCGTGAAGCATGGAGGTGGAAACATCATTCTTTGGGGATGATTTTCTGCAAAGGGGACAGGATGACTGCACCGTATTGAGGGGAGGATGGATGGGGCCATGTATCGTGAGATCTTGGCCAACAACCTCCTTCCCTCAGTAAGAGCATTGAAGATGGGTCGTGGCTGGGTCTTCCAGCATGACAACGACCCAAAACACACAGCCAGGGCAACTAAGGAGTGGCTCCGTAAGAAGCATCTCAAGGTCCTGGAGTGGCCTAGCCAGTCTCCAGACCTGAACCCAATAGAAGATCTTTGGAGGGAGCTGAAAGTCAGTATTGCCCAGCGACAGCCCCAAAACCTGAAGGATCTGGAGAAGGTCTGTATGGAGGAGTGGGCCAAAATCCCTGCTGCAGTGTGTGCAAACCTGGTCAAGACCTACAGGAAACGTATGATCTCTGTAATTGCAAACAAAGGTTTCTGTACCAAATATTAAGTTCTGCTTTTCTGATGTATCAAATACTTATGTCATGCAATAAAATGCAAATTAATTACTTAAAAATCATACAATGTGATTTTCTGGAATTTTGTTTTAGATTCCGTCTCTCACAGTTGAAGTGTACCTATGATAAAAATTACAGACCTCTACATGCTTTGTAAGTAGGAAAACCTGCAAAATCGGCAGTGTATCAAATACTTGTTCTTTCCACTGTATGTATTATGGCTTTACATCCCATGCTATATTGTGGATCGAGAGTTACCTGTCTAACAGAACACAGAAGGTGTTCTTTAATGGAAGCCTCTCCAACATAATCCAGGTAGACTCGGGCATTCCTCAGGGCAGCTGTCTAAGCCCCTTACTTTTTTCAATCTTTACTAATGACCTGCCACTGGCACTGAGTAAATCCAATGTGTCTATGTATGCTGATGACTCAACATTATACACGTCAGCTACCACAGCAAGTGAAATCACTGAAACACTTAACAAAGAGCAGCATTCAGTTTTAGAATGGGTGGCAAATAATAAGATAGTACTAAATATTTAAAAAACTAAAAGCATTGTATTTGGGACAAACCATTCACTGAACCCTAAACCTCAACTAAATCTTGTAATTAATACTGTGGAAATTGATCAAGTTGAGGAGACTAAACTGCTTGGTGTAACCCTGGATTATATAAACTGTCATGGTCAAAACATATTGATGCAACGGTAGCTAAAATGGGGAGAGGTCTGTCCGTAATAAAGTGCTACTCTGCTTTCTTGACATTGCTATCAACAAAACAAGTCCTACAGGCTCTAGTTTTGTCGCACCTGGACTACTACTCAGTCATATGGTCAAGTGCCACAAAGAGGGATATAGGCAAATTACAGTTGGCCCAGAACAGAGCAGTACGGCTGGCCCCTTAAATGTACACAGCACAGGAGGTTGGTGGCACCTTAATTGGGGAGGATGGGCTCGTGGTAATGGCTGGAGCGGAATTGGTGGAATGGTATCAAATGCATCAAACACATGATTTCCATGTGTTTGATACCATTCCATTTACTCCGTTCCAGCCATTATTATGAGCCATCCTCCCCTCAGCATCCTCCTGTGGTATACAGAGAGCTACATCAGTGACATGCATGTCAATCTCGCCTGGCTCAAAGTAAAGTAGAGATTGACTGCATCACTACTTGTCTTCGTGAGAGGTATTGACATGTTACTTTTTATTTAATTTTTTTACTTTAGTTTATTTAGTAAATATTTTCTTAACTCTATTTCTTGAACTGCATTATTGGTTAAGTGCTTGTAAGTATTCGGCAATTTGACAAATAAAATTTGATTTGATTTTAAAGTACCGAACTGTCTGTTTAAATGACTCGCACACAGCTCAGACTCTCATGCATACCCCCACAAGACATGCCACCAAGGGTCTCTACACGGTCCCCTAGTCCAGAACAGCCTCTGGGAAACACACAGTACTACACAGAGCCATGACTACATGGAAGTCTATTCCACATCAAGTAACTCATGCAAGCAGTAAAATCAGTAAAAACTACACCTTATGGAACAACACAGACTGTAAAGAGACACACACACACACACACACACACACACACACACACACACACAGGCACACACACACACACACACACACACACACACACACACACACACACACACACACACACACACACACACACACACACACACACACACACACACACACACACACACACACACACACACACACACACACACACACACACACACAGGCACACACACATTTACACACACGCTAGCACACGCAGTCTATGTTCCAAAATCTAGTGGAAAGCCTTCCCAGAAAAGTGGAGGCTATTATAGCAGCAAAGGGGGGACCAACTCCATATTAATGCCCATGATTTTGGAATGAGATGTTCGACGAGCAGGTGTCCACATACTTTTGGTTATGTTGTGTACATTTTGTGTTGTAGATATGTAGTGGTGTAATGATGTTATATGATGTACTGTTTTATTGTATTTTGTTTTTTGTTTTTGTGTGATGTGCGGTAGCCCTTTCCTTTCTTTTTTTTAAAGCCCATAACCATGTGTGTGTGGTGTATACTTTTGTTTCAAAGTTGATTTGTTTAAGACTACCAAGAAACACTCTGTGTGATCCTGATTTAGCCCACTGCAGTAAAATTAATGTTTGGACCCCAGGAAGAGTAGCTGTTGCCTTGGCAGCAGCTAATGGGGATCCATAATACAAATACTTAACTTCTGTATGTCAGCTTGCCAATTAGGATTTTTAACTGATCTCCAGATATAACCTGATTTCACCAATAAAAGCATATTTACAAGGGCATAAATACAGATAAAAGAGGAACCAAGACCCAATAGATTCAAAGATATCCTTTCTTCTCTCCTGCTGTTCTGCTTGTGACCACCAAGTTGCACCCCATCTCTCTCTCGCGCTCGCTCTTGATCTCTCTTGCGCTATCTCGTCGGTCGTTAGGACCCAGCGAAGAATACTTAGTGCTCCATTGAGATATGAGCGGAGTCATAAACGCAGCACTCATATGAGAAATCCATAAGTCACTAACACAGTAATAACGTCGCAAAAACCAGCGGAATTACAAGAGTTCTACTGCCGCAATTCTCGTCTACAATGAGAGAACTTCACTTTAAGGATTACTTTTGGGTAAGTGAAAATGTTTGTATTTGCATTGTGTGTCATCTGAGCTTCACCCTCAATAATTGTGCTTGCAGAACTATTTGTTTTTAGAGCTCGAAATCATTTATAAACAACTGAAGGAGCATACACAATGATCTATTTAACAGGTCTAGTGATGTCTGTTAGGTCATTGAACTTATTCAGAATATTACACACTGCATGGACTGGATGTTTTGTTAGCATGTCTCCTACCCAGCAGTGTAGTTCTGGTCCTTTTGAACACCTTGTAATATATGCAGATGCCAATCAGATTGGCAGGGCTCAGGAGTATTCCTACCCCTACAGTGTAGGCCTGATGTATACCTCTAATCACATGTGGTTAAAATGATTATATGTCATTATCTCATGCAGACATACATTACAGGGTACTTCAACTGCAGTTTATCATCCCAAACACATATTTATTCATGCTCACGAAATACTTATATTGCTTCATTGCTGTTAGCTTTATTGTTTCCGTAGTCTGATGTATTGTGTGCTAAAGCCCATTGGGAAGCTTTTACATTCTGGATTATTTTGGTTTTGGCCTTTGGGGGTCTTCTCTCTGTCAGAAATGTTGTAATGAGTTGTTTCCTTTTTGATAGACTGTTAAAAGGCAATGCAGCGAGGAGTATAAGGTTCTGATAGACCAGTACTGGGAGGGCGTGAGAGGCCATCCATGCTGACGTATTATTATTCCATCTTCCCCAATGTTGCCAGAACGGGGAGCTGACCAGTACCGGGGGTTATGACTATATCATCCAGCACCTCAACGATGGTAAGAGGACATGCAAGGAGATAGAAGACTTCATGAAAGCCAGGTGAGAAACCATGTGAGATATCATCCAATAGAAACCATTTAATTGAATCCTCAGACTACTACAGAGAATATGCTCTGAAACAAAAGACAGTATGGGGTTGTTGTGTCTATGTTTACATCAACTGAATATCAATCATGTTTTGTTGTGGACTGACCTTTTCAAAGGGCACGAGGGCTTCATTCACAACACAGAAGTAAGAAAGCCAGTCATCATTTGGGCACAGAAAATTAATAATTCTACATCTGGGCAAAGTGTACTGTGAATGGTGTTGGTGTTCCACAAACACTGCTGCTGTGTTTCCTGTTTCTGGTGTCACTGAGTGTGCACTTACAGTAAAAGCGAGGGGTTAATCTGTTTTATCTGCTATTTCCTCATTTTGGACAGAAATGCCACTATTATCCAATGGTCTAGAATGGTGTCAGTGTCAATCTAAGACAGCATGTAGACTATAGTTTACATATTTGTCTTTAGCTCGTCCTACTTCATATTTACTGTGTATACACCACATGATTTGAATGTGAAGATTTTTCCTCCCAATCTTAAATTCCCGACCAACTGATACAGCATACTTGATCAAAGTTCTTATTATGAATCATTACTGTGTTTAATACTTTTGAATTTGTTGTTTCCTTCCTCCTCTCTGGACTGTAGTGTTTAATGATTAATCGAAGCACAAAACAGACTGTGCAATCAGTCATGCACAAGGAAACAACTCCATAACAACACTGTTGTATTGAAAGATATAAAGTGGGATTTTGCATATGTTAGTTCCTTTAAGCTAAAGAAACTGAAAGCAGTTTTGAAGTTATCTTTTTAAAAATCTCATGGACACTGTGGACTTCCCTTCTGTGGTGCATTGTGGTGCAGATCCTCACGCTATAGCCTAATGTTCTCTCATGCACGTACTGTAGCTAACGTTTGTTAACTGTCTGAAGAGACGTGTTTGGTTATCTTTCAGAGCATCCATAGAGGAGAAGTATGCCAAAGAGCTACTGGGTCTCTCCAAGAAGGTGTGTGGGCACAATGAGATGAAGTAAGTAAATATTCCTGTTGCTGATGTTATGAATTCTTGAGTAGAGATTGCTTGCCATCAGTCAGTGACTGTAAAAATGTATACAGAAATAATTTGAAAGGCCTGCTAATGAAGGTAGGGGAACTTCAGGGGCGGACTAGGACCAAAAATCGGCTTTGGCATTTCTAACACACCGGTAAAAATGTTTCCTTGAGGCCCTCACACCTGCCTATTTTTTTCCTCGAGGCCCCCACACTAACCCATTATTTTCCTTGAGGCCCCCACACCAACCCATTATTTTACTTGAGGCCCCCACACCAACCCATTATTTTCCTCGAGGCCCCCACACCAATCCATTATTTTACTTGAGGCCCCCACACCAATCCATTATTTTACTTGAGGCCCCCACACCAGCCCATTATTTTCCTCGAGGCCCTCACACCAACCCAATATTTGACTTGAGGCCAGATAATGATGATTTTGCAATCAAAAAAACAAGGTAGACAGGCCCACTAGGCAACAAATGGACCAGCCCATCTGGCATTTGCCCGAAATGCCAGATGGCCAGTACCCCCCCGATGGGCTTTGTTGAAAGCCCTTAAAAGCCATCACATAACATATTTAATAGCCTTCTGATTGCCTGGGTGCCAGTCTGTGTCACGCCCTGACTCTGGGGACTCGTATTTGTTGAGTCAGGGTGTGTATTTTCTGTGTTGTGTTGTTCTATGTTATAGGTTCTAGAATGGACATTTCTATGTTGGCCGGTGTGGTTCCCAATCAGAGGCAGCTGTCGCTCGTTGTCTCTGATTGGGGACCATACTTAGGCAGCCTATTGGCACTAGTGGTTTGTGGGATCTTGTTCCGTGTAGGTATGTTTTGTGTTCTACCTTGGACTTCACGTTTCGTTTGTTTATTGTTTTGTCGGTTGTTTATTCATTAAAATAAACATGTACGCATATCACCATTTGTTTCACATGTAGAAAGATGGTATCTGCAGTGGCGCAATGGCCCACGCAGAACTATACAGAGAAATAAAAGTATGCATTAGTGTTATTAGTGCATTACTGTTATAAGATTGAATTGCTGTTGAGGCTTTTTCTGTTGAGAAGGATTCTGTCTATGGCTTGAGTGCCCATCCTGTTTCAGTATGTTCACCTGTTTGGTTTTGTGATTAAGGCCTTTTCCAGTAAAGTGATTGCTCTAAAACGGAATAATCAAACAGCTCATGCTGGTTACACTTACTGATTGTGTGAAGTTACACTGTTAAAATGGAAAGACTCAAAACACCACCATTGTCTAATGAAACCATGAAAAGTAATGCACCAAAGCTGAGATCTGGTGTTTGAAGGGTGTTTGAATGTAAAACCCAATGTAAGTGTTATGATACACAGAAAGTGTTTTAAAACAGAATTGAAGTATTCTGAAACACCCAAAGTGGTTCTTCAATCTGAGGATTGGTGTTTTTAAGAGAGTGTTGTGAAAACACTTTTTGGGGTCTCAGTGCATGTAAAAACACAACAATATTTATTTGCAGACGGTGTCTCTAATACAATCAAATGGTTTAATCAAATGGTTTGGAAATACAAATGGTTAGCCTAAACATTGATTGATGATAAGTTTCAATCAATATTTTACTACTTATTGTTGGGTATTTGTACATTAAGAGACAGAGCTGTCATATGTTCCACAATTTGCTGAAATATCTAACACTGGGCATGTAATACTTTTCCTAGAGCCAGGCTCATTGTGATATTATAAATTAGGTTACAATCAAAATGTTTAGGGCTATGTAAGTTATAGTAGAGGTAACATGATATAACATGTATAAAGTGGGCCTTCATCTCTGGTATTTGTGTGACAAGGTGGATTTGAACCTGGGTCTCCTGTTTGTCAAGACACTTCCTTAGTCCACTCAGACAGTCTTCAGGACTCAACGGTTTAACTGAACCAGCCTTGTAACACTGAGCACATGAGGTCCAATTCATACTTGAGATAAGTAGACTTAACGGCGACTTAAGTCAATAGAAAATGGACTTAATTTAAAACATTTTGCTGAATACTTAAACTTCTCTCAAGTCTGAGTAGGGACTATGGAGAATATTTTTGTGGAATTCCACTTTTATTCCACCGCTCTGATGCTTTCTCCGGTGAGATAGTTTCAGTCACTTGCGAATTGAAGAAAAGTGCACTGTTCGAGATGCTGGAATTATTCTGGATGAACGTGCGAAGGTAACCAACGTTTTGAAGTGATTGGTTTGACAATCAGATGAAAACATCATGACTGGTTGTGTTCATGGCACATTAAAAGGTAATACATTTTACGTTTACTCCAAACTGAATCTATTTTGCTACGAAAACAATTGTTTATATTGGAAGTAGTTCCCCCCCCTGTTGTGTGCTCTGTTTGCTTCTGTTTGGTTCTTAAACGGTAAACTGTTTCCGCTGTAAGATGTAATGAATAATGCCCAGTTTTCTTAATGCTACATGTAGTTAATCGACACGTGTCACTGGCATGTTTGTCTACTACCTTTATCAGCTTTGTCTATAGCTTTGTCTTTTTACATTAATATTGTTATCTTTTTGCTATATTAGCATACCTTTATTCATTTATATGCATTCGCATATATTTCTATTTATATATTTCATTATTGGATATTCATATTGCAATTTATTTATATTATAGCTGTTAATAACTAATTATGTGTTCATGTACTTTATATGTCATTTTTGCTTGTTATGCTGTTTCTCTGTCTACCTGCAGAAAACCATACATACATACATACATACATACATACTACGTTTCCCACCGGCTGGTCAATCCTAATCACAACCAATCAAGACAAGGATCACAGATTAATGCCAACTGAACTGTCAACTGTCAATCATATCATCTAACTCAACTGTACTGTGATTCAATCCATCTGAATACAATGTATACAGTATATGAATATATCTGAATATAATGCCATATTCCCTTGATTTTGAAGAATATGAATATTACTTTATCAATATAAAAATGTGAAAGACCTGTTAACGTTTTGTCATTGGATAATTTGCAACGAAAAAAATTAAGCATTTGAAGCTTGTACTAATGATTAATTGTGCTTGTATTAATTATTATCCTAGACAATCTTATTAATTTGCATTTTCACAAAACTATATTTTCAGGTGTTCTTTGTTTGAGAATAATACTTTACATTTGACATTTTGGAATTACTAAAGAGGAGTTTATTAACACACACCATATAAGAGCAGGGAATGCATTCTGCACTAGATAGGATTCGAAACGCCATAATTAGTGTTTAGGATCTTTAGATAGAGGAAACGGCACCAAATGAAAATGAATCTATTTCTGCACTAAACAGGACTCAAAACAACAAAATAGTGTTTTTATCATTTCCCTTTAGTGCTCCCAGTCTCTGGCAAGGTGTTGCACAACTCTTGATTATGTGGTGTTACAACACACCATTTCAGGTTTCAGAACATCTCAGGATTATGTGTTTCAACACTCTAGCAACGTTGGTGGCAGCTCAGTTGGTTGTAGTGTTACAAAACACTTAATTTGAACAGTGTAGGTTGTACTGCATGCATTACTTTTCATAAAGCTAGTGTTTGTTTGTTTGTTTAATAATTTAGCACACTGAAGAGATCGCTGGACGTGTTCAAACTGCGTAAGTGTTGCTGTCACAACACATTTTTCTGATGATGTATGTTGATGACTAAGCTCTATTTTTTGTATTTCCATGTGTGTGCATGTAAGTGAGTGAGTGAATAAGTGAGTGAGTGTGAGTGCGAGTTTGAGTGTGTGTGTGGGTTCATGTAATTTACTAACTCATTCAAACCCCAACTTTACAACATAGAAACTGAACATGTAAGTTTATCACACCTACAACTGGCACAAACAATGCGGGACGAGGCGAAAAAAATTGAGGACTTCAGAGAAAGACAGAAAGAGGCAAGAAAAAAGGTACATTAGAATAACAATTACTTAAATGCCAAATAAATGTAGGAAGTCATACAACCTTTAATTAATTATAGATCTCATGCATTGCTAATACAGTGCACTCTGCTTAATAGTGAATGCAGTTGTAGTGATCAATTGCTTAAAATCGCTTATATCAACGTATATAGAGAGGCAAGCCAGCAACCGGAGGGTTGCCAGTTCGAATCCCATGTCTGACGGAAACCTGCAACCTCTGTGTCTTTCGGAGGGGTTAGGACAAAGCGGAAGTCAAATTTCAGTTGGACCTTGTGTACAATTGACAAATAAAGTGATCTTAATCTTAATCGTCCTGCACAGATGTGATAACTATAGGGGTGCACTGTAATTGCAAATCATGGATATATAATCTCTATCTTCTTTGCTTTAATATATTATCTTTGAAACCTCTTCTTCACAGGTAGAACAACAGATGGATGCCCTACACAAACAGAGGGCCACACAGTTCAAGAAAGCCATGGAGGTAAGCTGGATAACTTTCCTACATTGTTAGACAAACCACCAGTTATCATCCCTAAACGAAGTAATCCTGAATTGATCATTTGTTCTCTAAAGGCATGTCTAGTTTCAGTCATCATGTTACCAAAACATGAAGCAGTCTTGTAATCTAAGTAATCCTTTATCTGAGAAGAGGGAAGTTCATCAACAGCCATGGGGAGTGAAGAATGGAGGAACCTCTCAAATAAATGTAGAGTTTCATTATATGTACTGGGGCAGTTACTGTAAATTAGTACATAGTACATGATTACATACATATTATGTAGCCTACAAAGAGCAGGTCACTGAGCAGGTCCCTTGTCTAGTATGGTCTATTTAGACTACATTTGGTTTGTAAAACAATATGACAATAAAGTCTGTTCCATACACATGTAGGATCTTAATTTGACCATTGTCACAGCAAAAGAATCCTGCAGCAACAAAATGTTGCTTGATCGGTGGTTAGGCTTTTAGCTGGCCAAAAGTAGGCTACATGAAAAGTGCAATAATGTTAATATAACTGTGTGTTAGTGTGGGTTTTCAGTGAATTTATGTAAAACATGAAGGTCATCTTTATTTCCTTGGGTGCAGGAAAAATCTCAGCAACAGAAGAGTGATCAAATAAAGATCCTACATCTGTATCGGGTTCTGGGAATAACAATAGCTATAAAAACACATTATCCTTCTGTTTTCCTTATTATTCCCATATATCCTGCAGGGCTACAGGGCAAAGGTTATGTTTTGTGGAGTTCCACTCAGAGAGAGCTGGAGTCAGTCCTGGGCCCATATTCACAGAGTAGGAGTGCTGATATATGATCAGTTTTACCTTTTAGATTATGATGAATTGTATTTGTCACATGCGTCAAATACAATAGGTGTAGACCTTACAGTGAAATGCTTACTTACGAGCCCTTAACCAACGAGCCCTTAACCAACAAAGATTTGCAGAATAAACTAAAGGAAAAATAGAACCATAATAAAAATAACGAGGCTATATGCAAAGGGTATGGGTACCGAGTCAATGTGCAGGGGTACGGGGTAGTCGAGGTAATTGAGGTAATATGTACATGTAGGTAGGGGTGAAGTGAATATGCATAGATAATAAACAGAGAGTAGCAGCAGCGGTTGTGAAGAGTGTGAAGGAATGTGAATGTATGTGTGTATGTGTGTGTGGCGTCAATATGCATGTGTGTGTGTGGTTTGTGAGTGTGTCTGTGTGTGTGTATGTGTGTGTGTTGGAGTGTCAGTGCAGTATGTGAGGGTGTGTGGTTAGAGTCCAGTGACTGTACATCAAGCCTGTGCAAGAGAGTCAGTGCAAAAAATAATAATAGATAATAATAAAATGCAAATAGTCCAGGTAGCCATTTGATTAACTGTTCAGCAGTCTTATGGCTGTTAAGAAGCCCTTTGGACCTAGACTTGGCGCTCCTGTACCGCTTGCTGTGTGGTAGCAGAGAGAACAGTCTATGACTAGGGTGGCTGGAGTCTTTGACAATTTTTAGGGCCTTCCTCTGACACCGCCTGGTATGGAGGTCCTGGATGGCAGGAAGCTTGGCCCCAGTGATGTACTGGGCAGTACGCATTATGGTGTTGAGTACCTTGCGATCGGAGGCCGAGCAGTTGCCATACCAGGCGGTGATGCAACCAGTCAGGATGCTCTGATGGTGCAGCTGTAGAACGTTTTGAGGATCTGAGGACTCATGCCAAATCTTTTCAGGCTCCTGAGGGGGAATAGGCTTTGTCGTGCCCTCTTCACGACTGTCTTGGTGTGTTTGGACCATGATAGTTTGTTGGTGATGTGGACCCCAAGGAACTTGAAGTTCTCAACCTGTTCCACTACAGCCCCGTCGATGAGAATGAGGGCTTGCTCAGTCCTCTTTTTTTTCCTGTAGTCCACAATCATTTCCTTTGTCTTGATCACGTTGAGGTAGAGGTTGTTATCCTGGCACCACACAGCCAGGTTTCTGACCTCCTCCCTATAGGCTGTCTCATCGTTGTAGGTGATCTGGCCTACCACTGTTCTGTTGTCGGCAAACTTAATGATGGTGTTGGAGTCGTGCCTGGCCATGCAGTCATGGGTGAACAGGGAGAACAGGAGGGGACTGAGCATGCACCCCTGAGGGGCCCCCGTGTTGAGGATCAGCGTGGCAGATGTGTTGTTACCGACCCTTACCACCTGGGGGCGGCCTGTCAGTAAGTCCAGGATCCAGTTGCAGAGGGAGGTGTTTAGCCCCAGGGTCCTTAGCTTAGTGATGAGCTTAAAGGGCACTATGGTGTTGAACGCTGAGCTGTTGTCAATGAATAACATTCTCACGTAGGTGTTCCTCTTGTCCAGGTGGGAAAGGGCAGTGTGGAGTGCAATAGAGATTGCATCATCTGTGGATCTGTTGGGGCGGTATGCAAATTGGAGTGGGTCTAGGGTTTCTGGGAAAATGGTGTTGATGTGAGCCATGACCAGCCTTTCAAAGTACTTCATGGCTACAGACGTGAGTGCTACGGGTCGGTAGTCATTCTTGGGCACAGGGACTATGGTGGTCTGCTTGAAACATGTTGGTATTACAGACTCAGTCAGGGACATGTTGAAAATGTCAGTGAAGACACTTGTCAGTTGGTCAGCGCATGTTCGGAGTACACGTCCTGGTTATCCGTCTGGCACTGCGGCCTTGTGAATGTTGACCTACTTAAAAGTCTTACTCACATCGGCTACAGAGAGCGTGATCACATAGTCATCCGGAACAGCTGACGCTCTCATGCATGCTTCAGTGTTTCTTGCCTCGAAGCAAGCATAGAAGTGATTTAGCTCGTCTGGTAGGCCTGTGCTTCCCTTTGTAGTCTGTAATAGTTTTCGAGCCCTGCCACATCCGACGAGCGTCGGAGCCGGTGTAGTACGATTCAATCTTAGTCCTGTATTGACTCTTTGCCTGTTTGATGGTTAGTCGGAGGGCATAGCGGGATTTCTTATAAGCGTCCGGGTTAGAGTCCCGCTCCTTGAAAGCGGCAGCTCTACCCTTTAGCTCAGTGCGGATGTTGCTTGTAATCCATGGCTTCTGGTTGGGATATGTACGTACGGTCACTGTGGGGACGACGTCATCGATGCACTTATTGAAGAAGCCAGTGACTGATGTGGTGTACTCCTCAATGCTGTCGGAAGAATCCCGGAACATATTCCAGTCTGTGCTAGCAAAACAGTCCTGTAGCTTAGCATCTGCGTCATCTGACCACTTCCTTATTAACCGAGTCACTGGTGCTTCCTGCTTTAGTTTTTGCTTATAAGCAGGAATCAGGAGGATAGAGTTATGGTCAGATTTGCCAAATGGAGGGTGAGGGAGAGCTTTGAACGCGTCTCTGTGTGTGGAGTAAAGGTGGTATAGAGTTTTTTTTTCTCTGGTTGCACATTTAACATGCTGGTAGAAATGAGGTAGAACGGATTTAAGTTTCCCTGCATTAAAGTCCCCGGCCACTAGGAGCGCTGCCTCTGGATGAGTGTTTTCCTGTTTACTTATGGCCTTATACAGCTCATTGAGTGCAATCTTAGTGCCAGCATCAGTTTGTGGTGGTAAATAGACAGCTACGAAAAAGATGAAAACTCTCTTGGTAAATAGTGTGGTCTACAGCTTATCATGAGATACTCTACCTCAGGCGAGCAAAACCTCGAGACTTCCTTAGTATTAGATTTTATGGACCAGCTGTTGTTTACAAATATACACAGTCCGCCACCCCTTGTCTTACCGGAGTCAGCCGTTCTATCCTGCCGATGTAGTGTATATCCCGCCAGCTGTATGTTATCCATGTCGTCGTTCAGCTTCGACTCTGTGAAACATAAGATATTACACTTTTTAATGTCCCGTTGGTAGGATAACCTTAATCTTAGGTCGTCCAATTTATTTTCAAATGATTGAACATTGGCTAATAGTATTGATGGAAGAGGCAGTTTACTCGCTCGCCGTCGGATCCTTACAAGGCACCCCGACCTACGTCCACGATATCTCTGTCTCTTTCTCATGCGAATGACGGGGATTTGGGCCTTGTCGGGTGTCTGTAGAATATCTCACCAACCCCACTCCATGTCACTAACCCCCCACCCCCACCAACCACCCTCCTTGTCACCAACCCCCCCACTAACCCCCCCACCTGTCACTAACCCCCCCACCAACCCCCCTCCCTGTCACTAACGGTCATTCCATGTCATTAACCACAGTCAAAGAAGACATACGAGCAGAAGTGTCGAGACAAAGAGGAAGCAGAACAGAACATGAACCGTAATGCTAGCACCAGCAATGCCAAGCAGCAGGAAAAGGTAGGTATTCTGAGAGACTGCGGGGGGGATGGTATAGTGTTAGTGTTGCTGGCCCCGGACCACACATTACCCCTGGAATCATGGGTTCAAACCCAGACTGCAACACTTTCCATTTCCTCCATCTCCTTTATCTCCTCATCAATCACTTATTCACTGTATTTGTCAATTAAAAAATAAATAAAAATAAAATAAAAAATAAACCGAAAGCACTAGTGTTTAAAGGAAATAGCAGGCCTATTTTGACCACAGGAATCAGACCACAAGAATTAGGCCTACACTGACCACAGGAATCAGACCACAAGAATTAGGCCTACACTAACCACAGGAATCAGACCACAAGAATTAAGCCTACACTGACCACAGGAATCAGACCTACACTGACACCAGGAATCAGACCACAAGAATTAGGACTACACTGACCACAGGAAGAACAAGGCTATCTAGTTTATGAAGAGGACATTTACCAATCAGACATGTGCTTTCACTCCGGTATGCAGCATTGCATTGAAAGTAATACTTGAACACAAGAAAGAGTTGAATAAAGTACAGAATCAATGATTTTCTTCTTCATCATCTTTCAGCTATTGACAAAAACACTGCAAGCAAAGCAGAATGCAGAAGAAGCTGGTAAGAATGACAACATATTCTCCTTTGGTCTCTTAGCAACCATCAACAGGGAAAACAGCAATATAGTCTAAAGAGAATCTAAAATGTGCCGCTATAGTATGGTCTCCCAAGATGAAATCTCTGATTTTAATCCCAGACAGGCTATACATGCAGAATGTGTCTGTGCTGGGAAAAACCAGGGAGGACTGGCTGAACGAACACATTAAAGCATGTGAGGTAAGGGCCAGAAAGCATGATGATACAGTGGGGAAAAAAGGATTTAGTCAGCCACCAATTGTGCAAGTTCTCCCACTTAAAAAGATGAGAGAGGCCTGTAATTTTCATCATAGGTACACGTCAACTATGACAGACAAATTGAGAATTTTTTTCTCCAGAAAATCACATTGTAGGATTTTTAATGAATTTATTTGCAAATTATGGTGGAAAATAAGTATTTGGTCACCTACAAACAAGCAAGATTTCTGGCTCTCACAGACCTGTAACTTCTTCTTTAAGAGGCTCCTCTGTCCTCCACTCGTTACCTGTATTAATGGCACCTGTTTGAACTTATTATCAGTATAAAAGACACCTGTCCACAACCTCAAACAGTCACACTCCAAACTCCACTATGGCCAAGACCAAAGAGCTGTCAAAGGACACCAGAAACAAAATTGTAGACCTGCACCAGGCTGGGAAGACTGAATCTGCAATAGGTAAGCAGCTTGGTTTGAAGAAATCAACTGTGGGAGCAATTATTAGGAAATGGAAGACATACAAGACCACTGATAATCTCCCTCGATCTGGGGCTCCACGCAAGATCTCACCCCGTGGGGTCAAAATGATCACATGAACGGTGAGCAAAAATCCCAGAACCACACGGGGGGACCTAGTGAATGACCTGCAGAGAGCTGGGACCAAAGTAACAAAGCCTACCATCAGTAACACACTACGCCGCCAGGGACTCAAATCCTGCAGTGCCAGACGTGTCCCCCTGCTTAAGCCAGTACATGTCCAGGCCCGTCTGAAGTTTGCTAGAGTGCATTTGGATGATCCAGAAGAGGATTGGGAGAATGTCATATGGTCAGATGAAACCAAAATATAACTTTTTGGTAAAAACTCAACTCGTCGTGTTTGGAGGACAAAGAATGCTGAGTTGCATCCAAATAACACCATACCTACTGTGAAGCATGGGGGTGGAAACATCATGCTTTGGGGCTGTTTTTCTGCAAAGGGACCAGGACGACTGATCCGTGTAAAGGAAAGAATGAATGGGGCCATGTATCGTGAGATTTTGAGTGAAAACCTCCTTCCATCAGCAAGGGCATTGAAGATGAAACGTGGCTGGGTCTTTCAGCATGACAATGATCCCAAACACACCGCCCGGGCAACGAAGGAGGGGCTTCGTAAGAAGCATTTCAAGGTCCTGGAGTGGCCTATGAGGAAAATTACACGCCTCTCTCATCTTTTTAAGTGGGAAAACTTGCACAATTGGTGGCTGACTAAATACTTTTCCCCCCACTGTATTTAGTTTCTTTGTTAGTTACATACTGTATTACTGGTGTAATACTTTGACTACATCCAGGTATTTGTTTGTCAGCTATATGTTGTAGTATTGGTATATATCATTTACATCCAGTTATTTGTTTGTCAGCTATATGTTGTAGTAGTTTTTATTATTTATTTATTTATTTTGTATTTGTTTAACTTTATTTTATTTTTTAATTTTTTTGGGGGGGTAGATCAGCTTTAATATTGCAGATATATTGTAACTTCCATCAATGTAATTGTCTGCATCACTTCCATTCCCCCATTGTACTCCTGAGTGGCGCAGTGGTCTAAGGCACTGCATCGCAGTGCTAACTGTGCCACTAGAGATCCTGGTTCGAATCCAGGCTCTGTTGCAGCCGGCCGCGACCGGGAGATTCATGGGCGGCGCACAATTGGCCCAGTGTCGTCCAGGGTAAGGGAGGGAATGGCCGGCAGGGATGTAGCTCAGTTGATAGAGCATGGCGTTTGCAACGCCAGGGTTGTGGGTTCGTTTCCCACGGGGGGCCAGTATAAAAATATATATATATATATGTATTCACTAACTGTAAGTCGCTCTGGATAAGAGCGTCTGCTAAAATGACTAAAATGTAAAAAAAAAAAAAAAAGTTTTTTCCCCTCACAAATATAGTTGAAGTCGGAAGTTTACATACACTTAGGTTGGAGTCATTGAAACTCATTTTTCAATCACTCCACAAGTTTCTTGTTAACAAACTATAGTTTTGGCAAGTCGGTTAGGACATCTACTTTGTGCATGACACAAGTAATTTTCCAACAATTGTTTACAGACAGATTATTTCACTTATAATTCACTGTATCACAATTCCAGTGGGTCAGAAGTTTACATACACTAAGTTGACTGTGCCTTTAAACAGCTTGGAAAATTCCAGAAAATGATGTCATGGCTTTAGAAGTTTCTGATAGGCTAATTGACATCATTTGAGTCAATTGGAGGTGTACCTGTGGATGTATTTCAAGGCCTACCTTCAAACTCAGTGCCTCTTTGCTTGTCATCATGGGAAAATCAAAAGAAAGCGAAGACCTCAGAAAAAAATGGGAGACCTCTACAAGTCTGGTTCATTCTTGGGAGCAATTTCCAAATGCCTGAAGGTACCACGTTCATCTGTACAAACAATAGTATGCAAGTATAAACACCATGGGACCACGCAGCCGTCATACCGCTCAGGAAGGAGACGCGTTCTGTCTCCTAGAGATGAACGTACTTTGGTGCGAAAAGTGCAAATCAATCCCAGAACAACAGCAAAGGACCTTGTGAAGATGCTGGAGGAAACAGATTTATATCCACAGTAAAACGAGTCCTATATCGACATAACCTGAAAGGCCGCTCAGCAAGGAAGAAGCCACTGCTCCAAAACCGCCATAAAAAAGCCAGACTACGGTTTACAACTGCACATGGGGACAAAGATCGTACTTTTTGGAGAAATGTCCTCTGGTCTGATGAAACAAAAATAGAACTGTATGGCCATAATGACCATCGTTATGTTTGGAGGAAAAACTGCTTGCAAGCAGAAGAACACCATCCCAACCATGAAGGACGGGGGTGGCAGCATCATGCTGTGGGGGTGCTTTGCTGCAGGAGGAACTGGTGCACTTCACAAAATAGATGGCATCATGAGGAAGGAAAATTATGTGGATATATTGAAGCAACATCTCAAGACATCAGTCAGGAAGTTAAAGCTTGGTCGCAAATGGGTCTTCCAAATGGACAATGACCCCAAGGATACTTCCAAAGTTGTGGCAAAATGGCTTAAGGACAACAAAGTCAAGGTATTGGAGTGGCCATCACAAAGCCCTGACCTCAATCCTATAGAAAAGTTGTGGGCAGAACTGAAAAAGCATGTGCGAGCAAGGAGGCCTACAAACCTGACTCAGTTACACCAGCTCTGTCAGGAGGAATGGGCCAAAATTCACCCAACTTATTGTGGGAAGCTTGTGGAAGGCTACCCGAAACGTTTGACCCAAGTTAAACAATTGAAAGGCAATGCTACCAAATACTAATTGAGTGTATGTAAACTTCTGACCCACTGGGAGTGTGATGAAAGAAATAAAAGCTGAAATAAATCGTTCTCTCTACTATTATTCTGACATTTCACATTCTTAAAATAAAGTGGTGATCCTAATTGACCTAAGACAGGGAATTTTTACTAGGATTAAATGTGAAAAGGAGTTTAAATGTATTTGGCTAAGGTGTATGTAAACTTCCGACTTCAACTGTACATACATACACATACATACATAAATACATATATGTACATACATATCCTTTAAAAAAAATATATTTCCCTTTATTACTTCAAACCCCACCACCCCTTCCCTAATTGGAGTAAACTAGTGAACATCAACGCTTAGGCCTCTACTTCCAGCTTATACATACTATAAACATTTTATGGACACAGTCAATTTTACAATAATTATATATTTTGTTTGTTTTTACTCCTGAACTTCCTCTACCCTCAACCTCTCCGATCATTTTCATGATGTCCATCCGGTTTGCTTCTATATGCCATATCTTTCTAACTGTGCTCTTTCACAAAAGCTCTCAACCTATATACTTATTATGGACACAGTATGCTTTACATTAGTTATCTTGTTGTTATTAGTTCTTGTTAGTTGTTATTAGTCCCATCCTTCAGCTCCAATCAATATCTCCCATCTATCTCTTAACACCATCCATATAGGATTTCTATTTGCCATATATTTTCAACTGTACTGTGATGTTTCACAAAAGTTCTGAACCCTTCTATTCTCATTGTTTCTACAGATTGTAAATTGAAAATATTTTTTTTTGCAAAAAGTATTATTATATTATTGATCGATTGACTATGACTTTTCAGATGTGTTGTAGGATTGGTATATATAATTTACATCCAGTTATTTGTTTGTCAGCTATAGGTTGTATTACTGGTATATATAATACAGTGCTCTGTTACATCCAGATATTTGAGAAGCAGGAAGTGGAGAGGATCAGTACTCTAAGGAACATGGTGTGGACTCACATCAACCAGCTCTCCCAGCAGTGTGTCACCAGCGATGAGGTAAAGTCACACTTTAAATGCTTTATTTTCTAGTGCAATCTGTAATAGTTACTTACTGGTATTATATTTGTATTGATGATACCCATTGATTCTCTAAGAATATAGCAAATTAAGGATTGTGGCTGTAAGTGACCTTCCGTATTGCTTGTGTTTCTAACTTGTCCGTCTGTGTGTTTCTGTGTGTGTCTGTGTGTGTCTATGGGTTCAGCTTTATGAAGAAGTGAGGAAATCTCTTGAACAGTGTGACATACAGGAGGATATAGAACACTTTGTGAACCTCAGACGGACTGGGGACAAACCACCTGGTACAGTTCTCACTCTTCACATATCACCTTTGACAACAGGCACATACAATACATTATAGGTAATCTAAGGACCACAATGAAAATCAGACTGACTTTTTTGTGTCATCCTTGATGGCAAAATTGTGGTGTGTCCGGGTCCCCCTCCCTGACAGTCTAGTTGTGTATTGTAGTTGTACTGTCCTCACTCCCTGGCCTGTTCTGTCCTCACCCCTTGGCCTGCTCTGTCCTCACCCCTCACCCCTTGGCCTGCTCTGTCCTCACCCCTCACCCCTTGGCCTGCTCTGTCCTCACCCCTGCTCTGTCCTCACCCCTTGGCCTGCTCTGTCCTCACCCCTCACCCCTTGGCCTGCTCTGTCCTCACCCCTGCTCTGTCCTCACCCCTTGGCCTGCTCTGTCCTTACCCCTCACCCCTTGGCCTGCTCTGTCCTCACCCCTCACCCCTTGGCCTGCTCTGTCCTCACCCCTGCTCTGTCCTCACCCCTTGGCCTGCTCTGTCCTCACCCCTCATACCCTGGCCTGCTCTGTCCTCACCCCTCACCCCCTGGCCTGCTCTGTCTTCACCCCCTGGCCTTCTCTGTCCTCACCCGTCACCCCCAGGCCTGCTCTGTCCTCACCCCTGGCCTTTTCTGTCCTCACCCCTCATCCCCTGGCCTGCTCTGTCCTCACCCCTCATCCCCTGGCCTGCTCTGTCCTCACCCCTCATCCCCTGGCCTGCTCTGTCCTCACCCCTCATCCCCTGGCCTGCTCTGTCCTCACCCCTCACCCCCTGGCCTGCTCTGTCTTCACCCCCTGGCCTTCTCTGTCCTCACCCGTCACCCCCAGGCCTGCTCTGTCCTCATCCTCTGGCCTTCTCTGTCCTCACCCCTCATCCCCTGGCCTGCTCTGTCCTCACCCCTCATCCCCTGGCCTGCTCTGTCCTCACCCCTCATCCCCTGGCCTGCTCTGTCCTCACCCCTCATCCCCTGGCCTGCTCTATCCTCACCCCTCATCCCCTGGCCTGCTCTGTCCTCACCTCTCACCCCCTGGCCTGCTCTGTCCTCACCCCTGGCCTTCTCTGTCCTCACCCGTCACCCCCAGGCCTGCTCTGTCCTCACCCCTGGCCTGCTCTGTCCTCACCCCTCTCCCTGGCCTGCTCTGTCCTCACCCCTGGCCTGCTCTGTCCTCACCCCTCTCCCTGGCCTGCTCTGTCCTCACCCCTCACCCCCTGGCCTGCTCTGTCCTCACCCCTCTCAATGGCCTGCTCTGTCCTCACCCCTCACCCCCTGGCCTGCTCTGTCCTCACCCCTCTCCCTGGCCTGTTCTGTCCTCATCCCCTGGCCTGCTCTGTCCTCACCCCTCCCCCTGGCCTGCTCTGTCCTCACCCCTCCCCCTGGCCTGTTCTGTCCTCATCCCCTGGCCTGCTCTGTCCTCACCCCTCTCCCTGGCCTGCTCTGTCCTCACCCCTCTCCCTGGCCTGCTCTGTCCTCACCCCTCCCCCTGGCCTGCTCTGTCCTCACCCCTCCCCCTGGCCTGTTCTGTCCTCATCCCCTGGCCTGCTCTGTCCTCACTCCTCAGCTCCTGTTCTGTATGAGAACTTCTACAGCAGTCAGAGGGTCTCCGTAGCACCATCATTCTCCCGAACGGCTCCTCCTATCACCAGGTGAGAGAGGTTTTATCAATAAAATGATTTTTCAAGCAAACCAAGAGTAGCTGAAAATCGTTTCACCTTGAGAGAGGAACAACCCACACAGCAGATGAGGGTCTTCCCCTTGCCACAAAAATGTTTCTCATCATGTCGATTTCTATTTTGTGAAAATCAGGAGGGGACCATTGCCTAATCCAACCAATACCGAAGGTACATGTTCAGAAATTACAGAGATATATAGATAGATATTATGACAGTTGTCAGATATTATCCATCATTGAATAAATTGATAAACTGTTATTTTATATCCTTTTAATGACAAGTCACTGTTTGTCTGTTTATTTGTGCTTTGACTTCCTCTGCTGTAGGTGACGTGATCTACTCAACTGTAGATCCAGGCTACAGTGCTCAACGATTCTAGCACACATATTCAGAGGTAAGTACATAATTATTCAGTATTTCAGCTTTAGTCAAATTGACCGTTGTTATCACAATAAGTTTGAGACACCTAAAACCATGGCTTTATTTGTTTCCAGTTTTCGATGGATATTGACTGCCTGGTGGATTTACACAGAAGGCTGAGTGTGGATTCCTTCATTGATGGATATAAAGAGTTGTAATTCAACAGTGACACCTAACAAACCAACTAGCGAAATATCAGCAATGCTGACGTTAATTTGAGTACGTGTCGCCATTGTGGTTTTATAGCTGTGTTATAAACAGTAAGATGACGTGTCATAGCTGTATTATAAACAGTAAGATGACGTGTCATAGCTGTATTATAAACAGTAAGATGACTTCTCATAGCTGTATTATAAACAGTAAGATGACGTGTCATAGCTGTATTATAAACAGTAAGATGACGTGTCATAGCTGTATTATAAACAGTAAGATGACGTGTCATAGCTGTATTATAAACAGTAAGATGACGTGTCATAGCGCAATATATGTAAATAGGTTCCTGAATGTATGAATATATTTCGTTTTGTACAGCCTAAACCAGGAAATGTTGTTAAAGCAAAAATGAAAGTAATCACTTTATAAGTTATTAACATTTGGGACACCAGACATTCCAAAGCATATTGCAACTTTTCAATATTAGATGGTTACAGTACTTTTATTTGTTGATTAATAACATGAATATTACAACAATACAGGTACATGATCTAAACCTTTTAAAGTTGCTTGATAAAGGCAAAATAATTTAAATATTTGTTGTGGATCAATAAATATGCTTGTGACAGTCACTTAATTAACACATCATTTGTTATCTTTGTAGCACCTAGTTGTTTCCTGTTGTGGTCTATAATAATCTGATTTGTGTGTATTTGAACACTGTACTTTGTGTTACTCAGGCTAGTTTCTGGTTGATGATTGCACACAGATCTTGATAAGAAAAACGAATAAAGGGCAGTTTAAGGTTGCATGAAGTATTCCCTGACTGAGAATATTCTGTAAGTGACATTGCGCCCTGGTGGTGAATTAATCAATTAATTAATTAATTAATTAATTAATACATACATCACATCATGGAGAGGTCAAACACACTCATAAATTATGTTTTGCAACCCTGACAGACTTGCTTGTAAAAACTCACTTCCAACTCCAAGTACTCTTGGTTTTCCCCCATACAATACACTTGAGGAACAAATGAGTAGGGGTGCACAGGAACCTGACACGCTAACAAGATCAGCAAATCTTGTGTAATCTATTGGTTGATAGAATGGGTGTTGTACTTACATCCAATATAGATGCAAAGTGTTCCACTTGTCTGGCAAGCTCTTTGAGATGGGTATTTTGCTCTTTTAAAGTGAAGATCTCTTCCGGTTTTCTGCTCAGGGTGGCAGGGGAAAGATCTCAATTGCATACTCCTCACGTCCTCTTGCCTCTTTGTCTCCTCAAAACCCATTGGAGAAGGTCAAAAGATCGGAACAATGGGTTTTGAGAAAGAGACGAGGAGTGAGGACGTGAGGAGTATGCAATTTAAATCCTCCCACGACATGTAGCTGTGGAGATTCATACTGAGACAGATCTAAGAAAGATATCTAAATCATTCAATTAAATAAGTCCTCCTAAGAGCTAATTGCAGTATACCAGGTACAGTGGGGGAAAAAAGTATTTAGTCAGCCACCAATTGTGCAAGTTCTCCCACTTAAAAAGATGAGAGAGGCCTGTAATTTGCATCATAGGTACACGTCAACTATGACAGACAAAATGAGAAAAAAAATTCCAGAAAATCACATTGTAGGATTTTTTATGATTTTATTTGCAAATTATGGTGGAAAATAAGTATTTGGTCAATAACAAAAGTTTCTCAATACTTTGTTATATACCCTTTGTTGGCAATGACACAGGTCAAACGTTTTCTGTAAGTCTTCACACATTTTTGCTGGTATTTTGGCCCATTCCTCCATGCAGATCTCCTCTAGAGCAGTGATGTTTTGGGGCTGTCGCTGGGCAACACGGACTTTCAACTCCCTCCAAAGATTTTCTATGGGGTTGAGATCTGCAGACTGGCTAGGCCACTCCAGGACCTTGAAATGCTTCTTACGAAGCCACTCCTTCGTTGCCCGGGCGGTGTGTTTGGGATCATTGTCATGCTGAAAGACCCAGCCACGTTTCATCTTCAATGCCCTTGCTGATGGAAGGAGGTTTTCACTCAAAATCTCACGATACATGGCCCCATTCATTCTTTCCTTTACACGGATCAGTCGTCCTGGTCCCTTTGCAGAAAAACAGCCCCAAAGCATGATGTTTCCACCTCCATGCTTCACAGTAGGTGTGGTGTTCTTTGGATGCAACTCAGCATTCTTTGTCCTCCAAAAACGACGAGTTGAGTTTTTACCAAAAAGTTCTATTTTGGTTTCATCTGACCATATGACATTCTCCCAATCCTCTTCTGGATCATCCAAATGCACTCTAGCAAACTTCAGACGGGCCTGGACATGTACTGGCTTAAGCAGGGGGACACGTCTGGCACTGCAGGATTTGAGTCCCTGGCGGCGTAGTGTGTTACTGATGGTAGGCTTTGTTACTTTGGTCCCAGCTCTCTGCAGGTCATTCACTAGGTCCCCCCGTGTGGTTCTGGGATTTTTGCTCACCGTTCTTGTGATAATTTTGACCCCACGAGGTGAGAACTTGCATGGAGCCCCAGATCGAGGGAGATTATCAGTGGTCTTGTATGTCTTCCATTTCCTAATAATTGCTCCCACAGTTGATTTCTTCAACCAGCGCAAAAAAAAAAAGGGGGGGGGTTTTTTTTTTGGGGGGTTTTGGGGAAAAATTTTTCCAAAAAATTTTTCCCCCGGGGTTTTTTTTTGGGGGAAAAGGGGGTTTTTTTCTTAAAAATTTTTGGGGGAAAAAGGGGCCCCCCCCCAAAAATTTTAACCCCTTTTTTTTTTTCCCAAAAAATTTTAAAAAATTTAAAAAAAAAAGGGGGGTTTTTCCCCTCCCCCCTTTTGTTTTTTTTTTTTTTTTCCCCCGGGGGGTTTTGGGGGTTTAAAAAATTTTTTTTTTCCCCCGGTTTTTTCTTTTCCCCCAATTTTTTTAAAATTTTTTCCCCCCAAAAATTTTAAAAACCCCATTTTTTTTTTCCTTTAAGGGGGGCCCTTTAAAAAGGGAAACCCCCCCTTTTTTTTTGGGGGGGGGTTTTTTTTTTCCTTCCCATTTTAAAAAAAAAAGGGGTTTTTTTTTTTTTTTTTTTTTTAAATAATTTCCCCAACCCCCAAAAAAGGGGGGCCCCAAAAAAAAGGGGGGGGGGTTTTTGGGTTTAAAAAGTTCCCCCCTTTTTTCCCCGGGGGGGTTTTTTTTTTTTTTTCCCCGGGGGCCCGGGGAAATTTTTTTCCCCCCCCCGGGGTTTTGGGGTTTTTTGGGTTTTTTTTTTTTAAAACGGGGGGGGTTGGGGGGGGTTTTTTTTTTTTCCCCTTTTTCCAAAAGTTGGGGGGCCCCCCTTTAAAAAAGTTTTTTGGGGGCCCAAAAATTTTGGGCCCCTTTTTTTTTTTTTTTAAACCTTTTTTAAAAAAATTTTTTTTTTTTCGGGTTTTTTTAAAGGGGGTTTTTTGGAAAAAAAAAAAAAAAGGGGGGGGTTTTTTTTAAAAAAAAAAAAAAATTGGGGGCCAAATTTTTTTTTTCCCAAAATTTTTTTTTTTTCCCAAAAAAAAAAAAAAAGGGGGGGGTTTTTAACCCTTTTTTGGTTTTAAAATTTTACGAAAAATTTTTAAAAAAAGGGGAAAAAAATTTTTTTTTTTTGGGGGGGGGGCCCCCTTTTTTTTTCCCCCCCCCCAAAAAATTTTTTTTTTTTTAAAAAATTTTTTTAAAAAAAAGGCAAAAAATTAAAAAAAATTTTTAACCACGCCCAAAAGCCCTTTTTTTTTTTTTCCCCCCGGTGTGAAAAAAATTTGGGGGGGGGGGAAAAAAAGGAAAAGGGGCCCCCTTTAATTTTTTAAATTTTTTTTTTTTTTTTAAAAAAAAACCCTTGTTTCCCCTTTTTGGGGTTGTTTTTGGGAAGGGAGGGGGGGTTTTTTTTAATAAATTTAACCGGGGGGTTTCCCCAAATAAATTTGGGGGGTTTTTTTTAAAAAAAATTTTTTTAAAAAAATTTTGGGGGGGGTTTTTTTTTGGGTTTTTTTTTCCCCCCTTTTAAAAAAAAAATTTTTTTTTAAAATTTTTTTAAAATTTTTTTAAAAATTTTAAAAAAAAATTTTTTTTTAAAAAGGGGGGTTTTTTTTTTTTTTTTTTAAAAATTTTAAAAAATTTTAAAAAAAAATTTTTTTTTTTTTTGTTTTTTTTTTTTTTTTTCAAAAAAAAAAATTTTTTTTTGAAAATTTTAATTTTTTTTTTTTTGGGGGTTTTTTTTTCCCCCTTTGGGGGGGGAAGGGGGAAAATTTTTTTTTAAATTTTTTTTTTTTTTGGGGGAAATTAAAAAAAAAAAAAATTTTTTAAAAATTTTTTTTAAAAAAATTTTGGCCCCGGGGGGGGGTTTTTTGGCCAAAAAACCCCAAACCCCCAAAAAAAATTTTTTGGGGGAAAAATTTTTCCCCCCCAAAAAAGTTTTTTTTTAAAAAAAAAAACCCCCCCCCAAAATTTTTGGGGGGTTTTTGGGGGGAAAAATTTTGGGGGGGTTTTTTTTTCCCACCCCGGGGGGAAAAACCCGGGAAAAAAAAAAAACCCCCCCTTTTCAAAAGATGGGGGTTTTTTCCCAAAAAAATTTTTTTTTTTTTTTAAAAAAAAAAAAAAAACCCAAAGAAAAATTAAAGGAAAAAAAAACCCCCGGGAAAAAAATCCCCCCGGGGGGGGGTTAAAAAAAGGGGGGGAAAAAAAAATTTCCCCCGGGGGGGGGGAAAAAAAAAAAATTTTTTCCCCCTTTTTAAATTTAAAAAAAAACCCCCCCCCCCTTTTTTTTTTAAAAAAAAAATTTTTTTAAAAAAAATTGGGTTTTTTTCCCTTTAAAAAAAGAAGTTTTTTTTTTTTTAAAAAAAAAAAAAAGGGGAAAAAAAAAAAAAAATTTTTAAAAAAACCGGGAAAAGTTAAAAAGGGAAAAAAAAAATTTTTTTTTAAAAAAAAAAAAAAAAAAACCCCCCCAAAAAAACAAAAATTTTTTTCCCCCTTAAAAAAAAAAAATTTTTTTTTAAAAAAAAAAAAAAAAAAAAAAAAATTTAAAAAAAAAAAATTTTCCCCATGAAAAATAAAAAAAACATTTTTTGGGAAATTTTTTTCCCCTTTTTTTTAAAAAATTTTG